TGCTGTGGCAAAGATCGATAGAAATAGCTGAGAGACAGGCGAAACGAAGGACCCGCATGGTGTGGTGGTGAACGCGTTACTCCCCGGAAAGGACAATAGCGCGTCCGTTCCCCACCATAGACACCTGCGGTCCAGAGTTTTGCAAATATTTCAGCAACGTTGTGGTTGTATTCTTTTCACACTTTCGTGAACTTCTTTAAGGCTCCGAAGCATTGAAATAAAGCGACATATGAAAATAGGTCCTTGCATACGAATTTATTCCGGAGCATATTAATAAAAAAAAGGGTAAAGCTCTCGGCGTTGATCAATCCCTCAGGGATGCGCCACGCATTCGACTTCATCAAGAATCGTTTGGAGATGATTGAATGCATATCTGGCCTTTACAATAACTCGCAGTGCCTACCGATGTATCGAGCCACTGCTGCTACCCTCGCGGACAAGTCTGGTACCAATTTGCCGACCCCGGAGGAATGGAACACTTGGTGGGCCATGGACGCGGGGATCGATCCCACGTGTTAGAGGGCGCCTTTGACCACACCGCCACACGCGCCCACACGGTGCCTATTATTGCGATGTTGTAGGGAGCAAGAGGCGCTGGTGCAGAGCCTGCTGGCGCTTTTTGCTCGAAAAGACCTTTTACATACTCGAATCAAACTATGTAGAGCCATGCTTTGGAGGTGCCAGAAGGAAAAAAGTGGCTTGAAAACAATAAAGGTATATTCATCAACTTTTCATTTACTGCGTATTATTTTCCAATGCAAGACATTATGTGAAATACAACCACAATGATGTTGAGATATAACTACTATAATGCGGAGACATTTACAAAACTTGGAACCTAAGTCAGATCCGACGAAATGCTACTCGCGAGTTCGAAGCTGGCCTGGTCTTCCGTGTTTAGCGAATATCTCAGCATCAATGCCTTAAAAGCAAACTTTTATTAAACCACGATAAAAATAGTCAATACCTCCTTGTGTTACTAATCTGCCTCGAGGTTGGCGTAAAGTAGTTACTCGGCTGATGTTTCGACGTCTTCGTCTTCTTCACTTCCGAATTGATCCGAGTCGATGATCCACAGGTGGTCATCCTCGCGATGTGTGTGTTCGTTACCGCATCGAGTCGAATCCAGTAAAGTGGAGCACTGATCGAATGAAGAATCTCACTCGACGGTGCCTTTTTTGTACTGGACGGGTGTTGGTCGATTCCCGTAAGCCAATGTGATCTGCTGTCTGGCTGACAATCCGTCCTGTAGCAGTCGGTTGTATACTAGCTCGCACATAGCGTAGTAATACATCTGTAAAAGGCGATTTAACCTTGGCACAAATAATCAATACCTTTTTGTTCCCATGATCGACTTTCTACTAACCTCGGCATTGGATTATAAATGCGTCGCTTCCTTTTTCAGCCATGGCGCCATACACATAGAACACATACAACACAACGGTAACAGACGTTTGGACAGCATCGCCTTCTTCTGAGCCTGGAAGTGTACGCAGCTTACTAGGTCAAACCCTTCAACAGCATAAACAGAAAGATGAAAATCTGAACGACAATGACAAGATATATACGTCTTCTCGAAAAACACACCGCTTTTGTCACCTGTCTTCCACCGAGGAAGAAGAGCCGCTCAGAGTCGCGTATGGTTGACGACTGCACCACCCCCATCGACGATCGATACGAAGGTATGTGGCGGAATCAACAGAGCATTCCTCTTTGCTAGAAGCCGGTGATCGTGTAATTATCGTTCAGGTGACCTAGTAAATTGCGTATCAGTGTACCGTTCCAGGAAGGCGATGCGGAGGAAACGTCAGCTACCGTTGTGTTGCATGTGTTCTATGTGTACAGAAGCAAATGTGTGCTGAATAACAACCTCGCGATTGCTAAAAAAGAAAACGACACATTTATAACACCTTTTTGGGTTACCAAGCTGACACGAGGTTGTTATAAAATATAAAGCTAGGCGAGGACGACCACCTTTCGATCATCGACTGAGATCAATGCGGGTCTGAAGGAGGCGAAGACGTCAAAACGTTAACTGAATAATTGTTTCAAAACAGCCTCGTGTGGCCTCAGTAAAGATTTGGTTATTCGTAGCAAGGCTAAATAAAAGACGGTTTCTGGAAGTAGTTAACAATCTTCTGTACAATTGAACTGACACGAATTTGGTAAAAAGAAACTTTTATTCGGCTAACGTTTGGACGCCTTCGTCGTCCTCAAAGCATATTTAAGAAGGGGAATCAATCAACACCCGTCTCGTCTTCAAAACATAAAAGGTCATTTCCAAGTGTTCTCCATTCGAAGGGTGCTCCCACCACTGGATTTGACACAATGCGACAACGACCAGCTGCTAAGCATCGACTCGGATCAACGTTGCTCTTAGACGAAGACACCGACAATTTAGCCGAATGTAAGTCCTCGCACCAAGCTCTTGTCGGCTTAATCATACGAAAAATTATCTCAGCGTAATTGTAGTAAAGGTAAATTTTTTGAATATTTGCTTAATATCGTAAACTGCTCATCTTCGTTTGTCGTGCTCTTACTTACACTACATCCTGTCGTAGCGTCCTCTTTTGACCATCATCCACACAGATGAAGCGGTCATGTGTGGGTTTGGTTACATCATAACGATTTACAAAGCAGATCTAAAGATCTTTTTCGCTCATTGGACGTGTTGAAGGTTGTTCGACCGTGGGTTTTCCGTAGAATATCCTAAAGGTCCCCTACGTTTACAACAAGTGCAGTTGCCAGCTGCTGGGGTGGGAGTCTCTGCTGCTTTGGGACACAGAATTCTTTCAGGATTGCAGTGATTCTGGTAACGGTAATCATAGTCGACCGAGCACTTAAGGACGGTGTTGCAAGACGAATGATTGTGGTAGATTCCGAATAAAGAAGTAGAAAATTTGCAAATGCTTAACAGAAACCCTTTGTAGGTTTTATGAATTTGTGACATGGGCGAGGAATAGCTTCCCTTTGTTAACCATTGCGTTTTATGGTCGTATGCTAACTGTCCGACATATTCAATGTATTGCAGTCCTAGCTGGAATTGTTTTATTATCTTCTGCAGATCTTAGTGGGAAGAATTGCTGACGATGAAGAATACCTACGTGAAAGAAGTGCGGACGAGTTGTCGTTTTGGCTTAAGAAGAACAAACCGAAGACAATTCGTATGAATTGGTGCTGCCCAAAGAAGGTGAGATTCTGCGCTATCATCTTACCGCCTCTAAAAGATCTGCATTCCAGCCAGAATCTAAGTCGATCCAGTGTGGCTTGCGAGTGGACAATCTTCCTTTGGCATATGATTCACAGAATTTGCCTTCCACTGAGGAGAAATGGAATAAAACGGTGTTTTTCTCGAAACCATTTGGAAGCTACGAATGGCCACCGTCAGTTAACTATATTGAATACTATTGATATAAAAAATGCGTTCTCTCCTGAAACAGAGATGTTGTGTAACTTTTCGCTGGATTTACATTGAATAACTAAGAAGCAAAAAGAACGTAGCCAATTGATTCCTAAACAATTCCCGATGAACTACGAGTTAATGTTTGTCCTAGTCACGCAGATTTGTTTCCATGAAATCCTTTCTGGTAAATTGCATGTTTTTCAAATTCATAATTGCTATATATTGCTTAGTATTTCGGCTTGCAGCCCTAAAATAAATCGGGACCCGCGTAGTGTAGTGTTAGAGGTGCCCAACAATAGGCAAAAAATTGGTTTTTGCTTCGATCTGCAACGGGTTTGCCAAACTTTCCATGTGTATATCCGAGTGTTGGTTTGTTGTACAAAATTTGTCTAGAGGTTAAAATTATTTAATTGATACATCGTTAGGCCACAGGAAGTCACTGTATAAGCCAAATATGCATTCAGCCACCCCTACGCTGCTGAAGCCGAGTGCACTTATCATTCTTGAAGGATTGATCAGCACCGAACGTTTTTAACTTTGAAATTCTGCTCATTGAAACGTTTATTGAATGTTCGCTGAGATCGAGTACAGCGCTTCTATGTAAACACAATCGGTTTCAGTTCCGTAAGTGTGGTGACGTACGCCTCGAATCCACAGCTGAATCGCCCGGCTCTCAGTGACTGTGAAACGGCCATAATAGCCGCTTTTGAGGATGAAGCGCTTTTTGCTAAATGGATCGATTTACTTCTTATCGAGAAAAACGATTCAAGGGATGTCAACAGCAACACTGTATGGTTGATAAAGGTAGGTGGAACGTCGTGAAATTACATATGGATTGAATGCATTGTCCTGACAATGGTCCAAATTTACACTGGCTGGGCATTTCATTCTCCTTGATTCTGCGCAAACTTCGATTCTCAGGCGTCCTTAAGTCCGTCAATGCGCTTAAAAACAATGAATGAGGAGAAGCGTGGATGTTGCATTCCCTATCGATGAAAATAACATGATTTCTGGTTACAATGGTTACGCACGATTATCACTTGTTTGTTGTTCTCTTGTCAATTACTGACTGCTTCAGAAGGGTTCTAGTAATTTTTTTCCACGTTATTTGCTGAAGCTTCGAGTTAATTTTGCTTGCAGAAAAGGTAGGAATCAAGTTTTTCGTTTAAAAGCTATGTGAAAAAAGCTTTGGATAAATGAGTTGGATCCTTTTTATTCCTATTATATACTTGACATTCTGTAGAATCCACTCGATTATGGCGCCTCAGCTTAACTGGATTCAATGAGATGGAACGCCGATGTGGAGTCCCCAGATCAATCCTGTTGACGGGTGATTGTTGATGGCACTGGTAGATGGAAAACTATCAAAAAGAAACTCAGAACAAGGGCCTCTGCAATGTGCAATGCGCGAGCCCACGGAAAGGACTCATGGTTCGATCTGGCCCGGTGTCCAAGTCCTGCGGAAATCTTAGCATCGCTCTGGTTGATTTCGCATAATAGCCTGCCGTGCAAATTCTAGTAGGCGGTAAATAAAAAAGTATTCCTAAAACACTAGCCGTGCTTCATGGCAGGAAGAACCACGAGCAAATTTATTGAGATTGACCTAAGTATGGAGGCTATAGAATGCGCATAGGATGTAGATCGGGTCATAATTGCCGATGTCTTCTAGTCCTCTTTTCTTGTACAGAATCAAGGTTTTCACTATTTATGTGCTTAAGATTTCATCCGATGCCGTGTTACCTGAGTTGTGCTGCTTCATTGGTTTTCTTTACCCACTTGTAAAGTCAGCATTAGTGTCTCGCACTCAAATAAACAAACGTAAGCATCCTATTTGTCACGAAACTTAGGCTCTATAACTTCTTGCCTGTGTTTTGAGTAGAAATCATTCCCTTCTTTTGCTTACCTTAACTTATTTTCTTTTGAAGTCACCATTGCTTTTTTCTTCTCATTCTAACTAGGTTCGCCGTGCTATATACCTATTGACAAAAGGTGTTATAGAATCAGGTTACCGTTCAAAACTATTCTCACTAAGTAACAGTGACCAATCTCTGCCAACAGCTTGGCGTGGTTCATATTCAGTCTCTTCTCTTCCGTTGTTTTCAAAAAAGCTCCTCGAGTTCGCTTTCGGGTCATCGCACCACGAAAGTGACGTCGTTGAGAAACGCAAAAAAAATGACAATAAGTTCACTGAAACTGTATAAAAGTGCTACAACAATATTCAAACTTTATTACCGTAGGAAAAAAAGGTGCTTTCGTCATCGTTAAAATTGACAAGAAGAGAATAACTAAAACGATACCTGATCAGCAGAACTTTCAGTATCTGCTACGGAACTTCCCCAATAGTGACGCGATCTACAACTTGACGACAAAAACACTTGCTGAGCTCCTAAAGAGTCGAAAGGTGATGAAAAAGATATTTTACCCTGCAACATTTTTTCAATGGCATTATCCTTGTCTAACGGACGATGTTATTACATCCTATTCATAAATAAAAGGGTAGAGCTCTCGGCGTTGATCTGAGGAATGCACCATAAACTCGACTTCATTAAGCCTCGTTAGGAGGTGACTGAATGCACGTCTAGCTTTTACAATCACTCGCGGTGGCGTACCGATGTATCGAGCCAGTGCTGCTATCCTTCTAAACAAGTCTGGCACCAATCACCAATTTGTCGATCCCGGAGGGATGGAGAGCTTGGTGGGTCATGGGCGCGGGAACGGATTCCACGTGTGTTTCAGGCGACTGCGACCCACTGCGCCACATGCAGCCTTACTCATATCCTTGGGCAATATTACTAGTTTTAACGTTTTTTTTTCATAGTTTGTTAAGTAACAAAAAGCAGCTTCGGCTCATGAATTTTGTATTGCATTCTCAGATCATTTTATTAGGCGGTTTACTATTTCCTTTAAATACAACCGGTGTTTCCTCAAATTCTAGGATCATTGCTACCTACGTTAACAGTAACAGTTACAGAGAGCTGAACAACGTCTGGCCGCTGAAATTTTCACTGGAGTTGCAAAGGGGACAAAATATCTGGGGTTCAAGAAATTGAATGCATTGTGGGAGTGGCTGGCGCCGGCCGTGGACGAGCTCTACGATCACATGAATGCCGATGCCTATTCGACTTGGAATATCTGCATTACTGATGTGGGCAATTATTTCAGGCTCAGACTAAAACGTAGTAAGCGTATGAATTGCACCCAAAGAATTGAAACGGATAACTTGGAGAATTTGACAAGGCAAAGACGTATACGCATTTCAAACAAGAGTTTAAGGTTATGGGGCGTGAAGCTGTCCAGAAATAAGGTGGAAGTTGATGTTCGGAGTTGGTACTGAGTGAACGGCACTAGATATTCACGATTTCAAGCTCCGCTGCAAGCAAAAACTATTATTTTAATATTTTGTGATTTTTGTAGCTTGAATTGGTTTTGAAATTATCGTATTCTCCTCACGCATTTTCATCGTGCACCGAAAGAGATTCAAGGCAGCGGCTTTTAGTGTTGAATGTGACAAATGTCGGTTGTGTTATTGTTCTTCAGTTTCTGAGGGAAGTTAATGGAGCTTCATAGTTGCCACAGTAGGACTTCAACTTTCACCATGTTTACTTCCTATCACTTGAAATATGCTACGCTTTAGGTTGAATTTGGCATGCAGAGCACAACCAGCAACTTTTGCAAAAAAACCCGAAACGTAGCAAAAATGCGTGTAACACACCTCTGACCTCCATACACACACCCCACATACACACACCCATAAACATACACACACTCACACACACATACACACACACACGAACAAAGATATCGATTATGTAAATCAAGTAAAGCACGGAACCAAGAATTTAGTTTAATTTTGTACACCATGAGGGAGTGATGTTCTGCTACAGGTCTTTAATCGTGATGATACGAGACGTTTCTGGTGGCTAGTGGAGCAATTCATTAAAAGTATGATGCGTCCTGCTCCATCAGCTTGGCATCAAGGAATGTAAGAATTAATCTTTAAGAGTTAAGAGGTTAATAAATCATGCAGTAGAGCGGGTCGTGTGCTAACATCTTTTTTAAGCCGATCGCAAGTCCTTATCGCTACTGATTGGCGTGAAACAGAAACTCGAAAGCGAATTTGTGACATCGCGTGGAAGAGCTTGCCTAAAGCCACCATCGAAACCCAGAGACTCGGAGTATCGACGTAATGTTTTAAAAGATTCATGGCTTACAAAACAAAAACAATGCTGCTCTTATGGCAAAGTTTTATTTTAAAAAGTCAAAGTCATCAGTTTCGTATTGAGTTATTATTAGCAAGCTGCATTAGATCCACATCGAACTTCGATTTTTGTTGGGTGTCAGAAATCGATGGGCACACTTACCACTTTGCTGTAAAAGCACCTGCAACTGCTTTCCTTAGAACGTTTATGTACTTTTTGGAAAAGTTTCCCTGTGCTACAGTATCTATTCCAGATCTTTGAAGCATGTTTGTACGGTGTTGGAGGCGAATATGAACAATGATTTGAAAAGTCTCCCGGAGAGATTCCAGTTGGAGAGCGTGGATGTCTGGTTGCAACGTTTCGAAAAGCAAGTACGCTGCTAACAAAGAACTTCAGTTAATTGTATGAATATAAGTGATTTTTTTAGTTGGATGTTCTCGCTAGCAGGGAAAACTCGCCCGTAGAATCTAATGAAAATGCAATGGCCCAAGCGAATTATGAAGCGATGACAAAGGAGCCAGGAAAGGACGATTCTGCTGCAGGTTCCCAGACTGCTGGCTCGTCAAGTTTAGCCGAAAAAGCAGATGTTAGTTTGAAAAATGAGCCAGACCCTATGTTCCGTCATAAAAAATATCCGCAGAAAACAGAATTCTGGAGCTACCGTAATTTTTAAAATTCCAGTATGGAGTGTCTATCCGCGTGTTTACAAGCTGATGTATAAACTATATTAATAGTGAGGTGAAAGCGATTTGATAGTGACGTGCGGTTGTCAGAGATGGGATCGGCTTTTTGTCATTTGTCACAGCTTCAACAGGAATTGGATTAATAATATGTTTGAGAATTTTAGAACTGCCATTCTGTGATTACCATGAGAAGTTTTCGTTCCATCGAAGAATTTTTCAGCCTGAATTATTCTCAAATTCGAAAGGATGAAACACAGCCTCTTTCAGCCTCATATCTACCTTAGAACGTTGTTAGAATTTCTTCTGCAATACTATGAGGACTGTATCACGTGTCTAACACCGGGCATAATATCCCTGTTTCCAATGCTCATCGAATACGCTAATGAAGATGAGTCTGAGTAGGTGCCCATTCACTGATTACACCTTCCCAGATGTTGTCGCTATTAGAGAATCCTTTTTAGGCATATTGATGCATTCAAGGATGTCGATATCAAGAATAACGCGAGTATGTTAGTACATGAATACATGTCGAGTCTTCTGGTCACCGAGAAGTTTGCCGACTCATTTCTTGACGTCCTTATCAATGTAAGCAGATATGACAATCACTAAAATGGCTCAAGAACTTAAAATTTTCTATAGTTTGTGCTTGTAAGCCTTCATTTTGAGGTGCTGTAGTGTGCAGAATATTTATCCGAAGTTAAACCTCTCTAACGAGCGATCCACTACCTGATTATTATCCGTGGCTGTTCCTTGTATTATTACTGGTTTAGAAATGCGATGCATATACAATTGCTTTACCTTTCCGAGTAGAGTATTCCAGGCTAAGAAGGTTCTTTATCTTTTTATCGGGAAACTCAGCTAAGATTATTAGAATCTATTAGTCATAGCTCTCTTGTTATTGCTCGTTCAACTTTGTTTCCTGGTTGATGTAAATCACTGTGTTCTAAAAATGCGCAAGCTTTCTTTAACGTTGTTGTTGCAATGGCAGCGTCGAGCAGTTTTTTTCATTGACTAACTATTTTGCACTATTTATTTTTATTTACTGTGGACATTATTTTAATGGGCACTCTCGAAATTCACTAAGGTCTAGCGAGGTGTGCTTCACCAGTTGCTGCAAATCAGAGTTTTCTAGTTGAGGTCAAATAAACGAAATCCAGCTGTGCTCAAGACCCGAGAAGACGTTCATGTTTAGACTTTTTATCGGTTAAACGCATGGCGTGTGCGGGTGTCGGTGTTGAAGTTCTTGCAAGTGATCGTCTTCTCCAATATTTACATATTAGAAGTTACTCAACGACGGAAAAACGTGGTGCGCTTGCTAATACAAGCGCTCAGAGATCAGCAGGTTTGTATTTTTGACAGTTACAGTAGCCAGAGAGAATTTCTTTTTCTAAAAGCAATGAACGCTCGTAGGTGGAAGTGCGTATGGAGGCCTCACGATGCATGATGACTCTTGTTCACTGCGAATATATAAAGGTTGATAGTTTCTTCCTGGTTAGTGGTGTTCTTCCTTCTTTTCTTCTCTATTCTTGCTCTCTTATCTTCTTTTGCCTCTTCTTATAAGAATTCTTCTAAACTTTAAAAACGCCTACTAACGAAACTACTAGGTAGGAAAAAGGAGATTCCCTCTGAACGTTTCTGCACGACGGCGACGATTCACTCAATTGCAGGAACAACTGCGGAAGCTGTCCGTGTGTGACAATCGCGCCACGCTGCATGGTGCAGTACTAGGTATGGGAGCGATTGTGATGGCGCATCCCTACTCCACTCCACCATTCATAATTCCATTGTTACGAGCACTATGTACTGTCAATACTCGCAATGCTGAGTTACAGGCAAGTAATGTCGTGCTGTAATTTTCCAAAATTAATTTAGCATTGTCACTTAACCTGGCCGATCAGCAGTATTCAGAAGAAAATTCAGTTGTATTCGCAGTATTCGAAAAGATTGCGGCATTCGAAACCGAACATTGTTGCATTAACACAAAATAGTAGTCAGTCAAAATCCGCGAGAGATGCGGGAGCTTTATCTATCTATCTGTCGAAGTACCCTGGCTGAGAAGTTCGAAGTTTCTGCGCGGAAGCTCAGGCGAACTTAAAATAGTACCAGATCCTAGTAAAAAATTACTTACAAATGGAGAATTTTTTTTTAATCCATAAAGGTAAGCAAATATGCTTGTTGACGGAGCACTGATATGGCTTTGTCAGATCACAGAATAACCTGACCAAGCGAAATATAGCAGCTTGGCGAAAATTGTGCTACAGCTGACATGGTCCATAATCACCCTTGATTTAGCTTCTAAACAGACTAGATTTTGGTTTCCCTGTCAACTTACTCCACTTCTTGATCGAATGCACCAACATGCGAAATGTTTATGAAGTACTGACGGCTCTCCAGCACTTTGGGATTTATAGCCCTTTATCTTGTTGAAACGTAGGAATATTTAATATCGTGTTTTTTTTTCGCCGAAATTTCATTGGAGTGCCGTTGTCTCTTCTATGTTTCAGTATCGTTTCTTTCTTTCAAAGGTTAATAATAACAATGCAGTCTATTGTTTCTGCAGATTTACCACCATCAAACTGCATGCGTGAATCGGAGTTGGGATTTATTTCAGTGATATCAAATTCTTTGAATCAGTACCAATTTCGCAGTCATGTTCGACGAGGGCAATTGTCTCAGATAAATAAGAACGACGAAGTAGTAGGAATTACGAGATAAACTACGTTACAATCTGATGTCAAAAACTGGTGAAAGATTATTAATAGGGAGTACAACTAACCATTTGAAAATGCGTAACACGTTGACTTAGGAAAGTTTGGAAATCAAGAGAAGTAAGGCATTTTTGCTAAGAAAAATCTGCACGAGGAAGTGCCGCGTGTTAAATTTCAACTAAATCTGTCCTCTTCTCTTGAAATTCCTCTTACTACTTTAAAATTTAAATTAAGAAAAATTTAAAATTTAAATTTAAGAAAAATTTACTTATTTCCAAATTTCACGACCAGTGGAATGGAACACTAAGAGCGATGCTGCTTTCAGAAGGCTGCGACAGCCGCTCTTCGAGAATTTCGACGCAGCCACCGCGACGACTGGGAGAAGACAGTGAAGATAATCGGCTCAGAACTTGTATATAAGATTGAAAACGCCATAGCACCTATCTACTATGCTTAATGTAAATCACTTTAATATTTTACTTTAGCAATCGCTATCTGTGATTAAATACGTTTTTTTTCATTTTCTGAATGTTGTGCTTCTTTTATGTTCTATTCGTCTTCATATTTCTGTTACTTTTTGACTTAAGGTCTGGGAGAAAAGTTCTCATTCAAGAAGTTTACTGCTTTCCATATACGTCGAGCAAGAGTTACTGAACTGAACACATCTGGTATAGGACGGGGATAACTAGAGAGTGTTTCTGCCGGCACTTCTCATTTTACAATTGGCTGGATTACTACTTTACCACCACTTGTACCACCCACAAAAGGGCGCGCGTGGCGTAGTGGTCGGAGGTGCCCTGGAACACACACGTGGAATCGATCCTTGCACCCATGGCCCACCAAGCCTTCCATCTCTCCGGGGTCGGTAAATTGATACCAGACTCGTCTGGAAGGATAGCAGCATTGGCTCCATACATTAGTTGGCCACCGCGAGGACTGTAAAGGCGAATTATGCATTCAACCACCTCCAAACGATGTTTAACGAAGTCGATCGCACGGCGGCGCATCTCTCAGAGATTGATCAACGCCGAGAGCTTTATCCTTTGTCCTTTTTTACCACTCACTTAACCCTCCTGTTTACTGTTGAGTGTCTGGAGCGGACGCGAGCAGTTTCCATTCGTCCATGGCACGTGTGCGAGTACTCCAGTGGATTCTGTTCATTTCGGTTGCTTTCTGAGCATTTTTCTTTCTTCTTGATCTTACCTGAATGAGTGACGACCATCCATTTTCACTCCTATGTTGTCCCATCCCAGCTTTCGTATATTCTGAAGTGTTCCTGTAAATACTTTCGGCGAGGGGGTGTTTTGATTCCCTATCCTTACATCGATCTTAATTTGCTTAATGATGATATTTTGGTTGCGAAATCTTTGAATAGCTCACGAAGGATTTTTCTGTTCTGAGTAGAGACGCACCGACCGTGCAGAGACTTTACGTCTGATTCTGCTTCAGTTTGTCGAAGGACTCTACACGTGAATAAAAGTGATAGATTCATCTCTAATTTGATGAAAGTTAGAGAGAACGGTCTCTTGTACTTTCGCGAAACTTCATTGAGGACTTGTTCTCGCGTGGACGTGGTCCAGCGCACTGAATCCTTTTCGAAATGATGCTTGCTCAGATAGATGTCCTTTGCCCAGTGCTCTGCCATTTGACTTTGGAATGACTTGAGTGAAGAAGTTGTAGATCTCAGACAACAAGCAGACTGGGGGAGAGACGCCAGTATAGTGGAGGTCACCTTTCTTGAACAATAACACGGTCTTTCTACCAATCTATTGAGTAGGAACCTAGCACTGTGGCAGGTAACCTGTGAAGAGCCGAGCGTGTTTATGAGGACCGGCGGAAGGCTTTTCAGGGGCGCTGGTCTTATCCTTTTTAAACCAGGTTTTGATGGGCGAAACAGCAAACCAGATTTCGGAAGAGAAAAGCGGTGAGACAACATATCCGTCTCCCTCAATTTCATGTGGAGACAGGAGGGATATGGCTGCTGAAAAGATCAGAGCAGTAGTCGTGAATAATTCCCTCTATCGCCTTTCTGAAAACAGCGGTTGCTCTGTATGAGCGTCGGAGTAGGGTGAATACCTTACTTTTGTAAGTGCCACATTTACTGCTGCACTTATTCAGTTTTTTAGTTGACTATTGGGAAGTTGTCGTTCTTGACAACACCGACAGGAAATACGATCAGCTCATTCAACATCTTCACCTTAGCACAATGAAAGCTGAGAATTCGAAAGTCACCAAGAGACGTCTGTCTCCAGAAACACTCGAGCTGATATGCCGGCGTGGAATGGCGCGAGCAACATGCAATCGCCAAGTCCCAACTTGCAAAACAATGCAGAGAGGCAATAAAAAGTGATCTTTTAATAGAAAAGACCAGCAGTTATCGTCGAAGCTGCAGAGGATGCAAAAGCATTCGTAAAGACTACCATCATCAATCATCAGCATTGCCAATCAAAAAACCAAGATGAGTGCACATTGTCGAGCACACGGAAGAGTTACGCTTTCAGAAAGGCAAAAGCGTTCATGATTACTACTGGGATCTCTTAAACATGCTCGTCGTGCTGCTATCTTATGGAATAAAGGAGCTGTGTTAGTGTTCATGAAGAGGATGGAAATGTCATTCCACCGATTCTCCATTCCAAAATCCGCCTGTTCTGATAAAGCACTGACTCGGCTTTCCATACGTTACCTGTCACAGAGCCTGTTTTCTATTCAATGAAAGACCAGCAAGGCTGTGTTAGTGTTCATGAGGAAAGAACACCACGGTATCAACAACTATCGTCCATTATGCTTGCTGTCTTTTATCCAAAAACCGTTTGCTCGAGTAATTCTAAACAGGAATGATAAAAAATTAGACGAAGGACTGTCATCTAAACAAGCAGAGTCTCACCAAAGACTCAGTGCAGTGGGACACAACCACGCGACAATAGTATAGAGAGCATTCTTCACGAACATTGGAATGTTCTTTATGTAAAGCATTTCAAATACTGTTTCCGGTGACCTTCTTCCTATGACGATTTGATTACCTTATGTCAAACATTTCGAATACTGTTTCCGGTGAGCTTTTTTCCTATGACGATATCCGTTTGTCTAACAGTTCGTTGGCGGTTATCTCATGAAAAATATCTGCAGTTACAGTCTTATGCTTTGGCTATTGCCTTATCAGATTGCAATGCTTGAGAGATGTTTCCAGCACCGTCTTTCCGCCTACTGTAGCCTGACTCCGCTCAGTCCAAAAGGTATACAAACGGCTCCACGGTTGGCTAGCTTAGATCAGAGCAATGCTGCCCAAGTCACCATGTCCCTTCCTCACATCCATCTCATGTAGTAAAAGTCTTATGGCAGCCTCTTCACTCATAAGCAACCTGAACACCAGTGATCAGTCTGCGCATATTCATTAGTTCTACCATTGTTGTATTAATTGTAGAGTTGCATAGTTATGCTATAATTGTTGTAGAATTATGACAAACGGTTCAATCACCCAAGTTTGAAGTGTTCGTCATTGTGCCTGCTAATCACAAGAAGTCCCGCGTGGCGCAGACAAAGGCAAGCAGCCAATTCTGACCGAATCTTCCTAACTACTTGGTATTTCTATATCAACCGGCCTTCCCCAACAATAAGCCTCATCGAACTATCGCGAGAAGGTAAAGGACCGATCTGTCTCAGCTTCACCAATTTGATGGAAGCTTTTAAGTTTTAAGAACAAGAATTTTCTGAGAACACAATCGCGCAAAACTCTCGAAGCGTTCTGGATTAATTTCAGAGGTCCGAAAATGAACCGCAGAGAAGAATGCCTCACCATCACGCGTGATATTGGGCAGTATGTAAGCCTGTTATTCTGATGGGATGGGCACATTACGCTTCCATGTGAACTCTGTGCGGTTGGTCATCATTTTTTCATTGGTTGGTCCATTTTTCGGAGATTTGCTGCTTAAGCCATTGTCGTTTTCTGGAATCCCGAAGACAGCGCGGCTAAAGCTGTGGGTTTGCTCAAAAAGAATACGAAGAATTATTTGATCAGTGCCGAAGTTAATAGAAAGTCGGTCGCGGGAGTTACTGCAAGATGTACCAGCAAGATACTTCCGACTTGTAAAAGAAGCAATGTCACTTAGACAAAAAATCGTCTTAGCTCTATAGTCAATACACTTTCTCCGCCGCTGTCTAAAACACCGAGTCGTTCCGAACTTCATCAAACGAAGGCGACTACACGACGTATGCGGACTACCAGAGGACAGTCACCGAATATTGGACGTCGAATTGCGAATAGTACGCACCTGTCTGCGAAGCCGACAAAACCAGATGTTCGCCAAGTGGAAGAAGTGCGAGACGAAGGAAAACTTTTGCGCTCAATATTTGGCGGACCACCTCTGGAGGAGAATAGTGGGCAGGTCACTATTGATTTGCAACTTTATTAGGTCTAATGCTAATGCAACTTTGCGGAGAAAATTCGAAGACCTTTTGAGTAAATCACATAACACAGCTTCAATAGCGCACAAAAATATCGCTAAAGAATATCAAACAGATCATATTAGGATAGGTAATGTGCAAGAAAATTCAAGGCTAACCGTGTTAGGAGGCATAACTCTCCCTGCGCGCTCGTTATTAGAATTGCGACCGAGTCTCTCACCATCCGAACCTATTTCTAAGGTAACCTTGCGTAGGGTAGCATGCAGTTTAGATGAACTTCAAGAAAGTCTCCGCAAAAAAGCTAGGGATGAAGCTCCAAATAGGCGCGAACAGCTAAAAGTAGGGGCAATACCAGCACCACCATTTTCTCATCCGTTATTTAGACAACAAGAGCCCAGTAATGAAGTTGAAATTAAATTTCGGACGTTTACGAATGAAACCCTCAAAGTCCTTAGTCACTATCGCGCGAAAAGATACAGCTCAAACCTCACTGAAGTGCAAAAATGTGGTATGCGAGAGGCACGAAAGCTGATAAGGTTGAAGAAGAAGACTATCCCTTAGCGATAAGGGTGGAGAGGCTGTCGTAACTCCTCATCAGTTAGATGTTGAGATAACGAAAAAACATCTTGAAGATGCTTCACTTCATCGTCCACCATCTGAGGAGTTTAAAAGTAAATACAGAAAATTGAACCACAAATGAGCCAAAATGCTAAGGGTTGCTGGTTTAAAACCATCAGTTATCTTTCGACTAAAAGTTGGCTTACCAACAAGTCCCGTCTTGTATTTGCTTATAAAAACTCATAAGTTAGTATCCAGCGATGATCTTGCGTCTACCGATCCATCACTATTTAAGGTTAGACCTATCATTAGCTGTGTAGACGGGCCAACGGACAGGATAACATGGTTTTTAACCCTAATATTTAACCAGTTGTTGAAACACATTCCAGCCCATCTTACGAATACCCAGATGTTTCTGGATCGTCTACGTACTGCGCAGCCCAGCAACGCGTACGTGATGAAGTCCTTCGACGTTATTGCCCTCCATACGAAGGTGTCGAACGACTACGCTATGCAAGCCATCCGAGAGCTCCTTATAAAACACGAAGAAGCAATAAACATGTATGGGTTCAAGGTAGAGCAGTTGATGGCACTCTTAAAAGAATGCCTGAGCTACTCAATCTTCAGGTGGCCCGGAAAGCACTACGCTCAAATAAGAGGGTTGGCAACGAGACAACGACTGGCACCAAGTCTTGCCATTGCGTTTATGTCTATGGTGGAAGCACCAGTGACTGTTCTCGAGCCGCTACTCTATTTTAAATATGTAGATAACTGTTTTGTCTTTTGCTCAACGCAAGAGGAAATGGACAAATGTTTCGAGTTGTTGAATGAACAGTCACAGTATATCAAGTTAATCCAAGAAAAACCGAAAGAAAAATGGCTTTCATTCCTAAACGTCCAAATTAACCGGTCAGAAAATGGCTACATTACGAAGTGGTACCGAAAGCCAAGTAGTAAAAACATCTTGGTTCATTACCTCTCCTCTCACCCCTCTCACACGAAAAGGGCGCTTATAAGAAACATGTTTCGAACAGCAACCAACGTGTGGACGGGAAGAGAGCAGAGAGAGGAGTCCCGGAACTTGGCACGGCAAATAGCCATTTCCAATGGCTACGAAACTGTAGCTCGGAATAGGTGTAGGGGAAATCGGAGATCTCCAAACGACAACTCTAGCGGTAAAAATGTCCCGTTTATCCCACTCTTCATCTCAAATGATGTAAGTGCAGCTCAAGAAAATATAAAATGCTGCTCAAGAAAGGCGGGTCTAGAGAATTCGGTAAACACTGTTGAAATGCCACCGAGTAATCCTAGGCGCCAGCTAGTTCGTAACCGCCTAAATGACCGTCTATGTGCAACGCAAAATTGCATAATTTGACCCAATGGTAAAGACGGTGATTGCATGAGCTCGGGTATAGTTTATCTGATCTCCTGCAAGGCGTGCGGAGACGAATACATTGGCGAAACGGGAAGACCCCTGTGCCCGCATACAAATACCCCACTAAGCACGCATAGGACCCAGAGACAACGGGGAGGACGTTGAATTACGTGTCACGATCCTCGCGCAAGAATCGAGAACACAAGCGCGCAAAACTCTAGAGGCACTCTGGATTAATTCCCGAAATCCGAAAATGAACCGCAGGAAGGAATGCCTCATTCTTACGCGTGATATTGGCCAGTATATAAACTTGTTATTCTGATAGGAGGGGCACATTACGCTTCCATGTGAATTCTGTGCGGTTGGTCTTCACGCGTCATACTCAGTGGAAAACTCATAGAAAGCGGTGGGTATGCAGAGTTGTGTTATATGTGAATAAAATCTTGGTTTAGCGTTTTCTCTGTTTCGTTATGGAGGTGTTTAGCCGTGTAGATTGATGTCAATCTGACCTTTCCAGGCTCTGAGAAAGGCGAAATCCGCCGAAACATCAGCTTGTACGTAACTAAAAAAATAACACCTCGCGTTTGCTGAACGGAAGTAGAAAGACATCTTTGAGCTAAATCTTTACAAAATAGGTGATGAGAAAGTGGAATAGGAGTTGGTAGATTTCCCGAAATATGTACTTGATAAATATGCAGGTTGAGGACGCTTGGGTGTTTAGAGTACTACAGATACGTTTAAAGAAGTCTTCTCGATGATGCGTTCTTCTTTCGTGACGACAAGGTGTCCCTAATCCGTAAATTTTTCTGTGTAAGTACCAACAGATTCGCTCTGGAGTTTGAACAGTCGGACTAACTCGCTCGAAATTATAGCGTAGTAAACTTTCCGCTAGTACAGCACTATGAGAATAGGTATCTACGGACCAGACCCGAAATAAAACTATAGTAAAGAGGCGTTATGCTGATGTCGGAGTGTTGCTTGAAAATCTCCAAAAGTTTGTTAGGATTCTTACAATGAAGGTCCTCACTATCTTCTTCTCAGACATGAACAGAATCTATACTGTGTAAACGTTCGACTTTCTGGTTTTAAAATAGGATTTATTAGCAGGATAAGCTCTCTCAATTCGTTTGCTCGACATTGAGTCCACCGAGTCCACCAGCATTTATAAGGTGACACCACAAAAAATCACATTTGTGTTGATCACAAAACAGAAAGACCATCTTTGTAACACGCATATGAAATTGAATGTTATACAGCAAGAAGATTACACTAAAAAACTGTTCAGAGACTAAGCATAGTAGACTGGTGCTATAGCGTTCTCTATTTTATAGACAAGATCGGGTCCGAGAATCTTTGCCACTTTCTCCCAGTTGTCACGATGGGTGCGACGAAATTCACGTAATGCTGTTGTAGCAGCCTTCTGAATTACACTGGATGATCGTATGTCTTTGTATTCTATCGACCGTTTCCCAACACAAAAACTCATCCGACAAAACTATCGACTTTGCTGTATAAATATAAAGAAAGTCTACGATTTCTCCACCTGAAGCTCAGCATTATGGCTGGTTACTTCACACAGCGCTGCCAACATTGGTTTGATTGCCAACGGAGTAGAGAATGGATGAGCCCGAACGACGGCACCCATTCCGAGTATTGCTCCATGTAGGGTGGATAAGTTCTTGTTCTTCATCAAATTGTTGAAGTACTTCTATTAAATATCCGTAAATACCTCTAAAAGTAATTTTTATTGGAAACGGAGGTGGATTTACCGAGAGATCGTCGTTGACTTTGATGTATCCACAGAGAATAAGCGTAAGCATAGCTCTGGATGCTTCTCTCCGCACTTCCGTCTATATAAATAGCTAGAATATTAAGAGAAAAAAAATTCATGGTGGTTAGAAAAATAGCGGCTAATGGCGGTAAAATCGATAAGCGTCAATTACATGTAATTGCAACGCTCACGATTTTGCGCTTATAGTTGACTAGGACAGGCCGCACAACGATCTTATTAAAGGGATGTTTTATCGCGAGAAACATTCCTACCTGAGGGTCAACAATGGCGTCATAAAGTAGTCTGAGGACCTTCTCAGGTCGGGTAGCTTTTTCCAATTCATAAATATTAGAAAACACCAAGACTTTAATAAACTTCAGTACTGATACTTTAACCCGCCATAAATAAGAAGTGTAGAATGACTAAAGACATTATTTTGTAATATAGTTTCTATTGTGTACCACTAGTAAAATCGAGCAAACCTGTAAAACAACGTTTAGAAATGAATCAGCAAATTTTGGAGTAAGTTGTAAAGTGGACATCTCGTCATGAATAAGTAAACTGGCGCTGTGGCTTATATCCATGTCTTTGAACGAACCATATATGCTGGAATAAGTCCTTATAAGCTCATACTACATCATTCTTCGCCAGTAGACGTGTAACTCACTCATTATCACCTTCATTAGCATACTCCAGAAGTACAGGAAATAGTGATACGATACCAGGTGTGAGACAAGTTATACAGTCAGTGTAATACTGCAAGAGGAACTCCAATAGGGTTCGCAGGTAGATTTGTGACTGGAAAGTATAGTTAAACATCGTAGGGCAGAAAAAACGTTGTCAGCGGCAAGAATGGTCCACATGTAAGGAACAGTTCCTGTTAACCATTGATGACAATATTATAGGATACGGACTAAGACACGCTTGTAATAGCGGACCAAGAGTTGCTGTGTATTCCGAAAGAACCCACCAGGTCAACCATCGAGCTAGATGAATGCACTGCCATAAATTTGGCAGCCAGTTCATTAGCCTTGACACCACCGTCAAATTGAATGACCGTTTCTGATGCCAGCCTGGATTTAATATTTGGTGTCTCGTCAAGCTGAATGATCAATGATTATAAATGTCTTGTGGTTATGAACAGAATCACTCTTTAAAGGCCATTGATTTACAAAACTTTGTCACTTCATCACGTTTTACATAACGATTAATTTCCTTCATTCCATTCGGAAACATTCAAAGTCATCGACGAGATGAGAATTTAAAGCTGTGGTAAGATTTCTATTGTGTGCTCACGAAGGGAAAGAGATCGGCGTTATCCAGAAGGTTGCTACTGATAATTGCAGCTTCCAGGATGCTCAAATATTTTCACCACATGAAAACATTGACTTGATACTTCGGTCGCTCTTGTAAATCATTCTGTAGACCAAACATACATTGAATAATAGCGCACAAAAATAGTGAAATGTTATGCGCTGACCTATCCCCTATGAACGACCAATGGATTCGGCCCCATTAAGCATCGTGGAGGTGGTTAAATATATATTCAGTGACATGCAACTCGCGTTACAATGTATCAATCCAGCGATCTGTTTTTGCTCTAAGACAAATCTGGTATCAATCTGCTAACTCCAAATGGGTAGTAGTGGACGTGGCTTATCTGGAGCGTCGAATGCAGACAGCCGCAAAAAAAGACTAACGTTTCCTTTGAATCGTTGCAACCAGAAATCAACGGATTCCAAGTGGAATCTGTTTGGAAGACCACGGAAGTCGTTGTTCATGTTCGCATCTAGCACAACACACACGTTTTTCAGCGCCCTTAATCCATATAAATGACATTTGTACAAACAGTAGGTTTCTACGAAGATAATGTCGAAAAAATTCATTTTTGGCGACTCTTCTGAGCAAAAGAAAATCACAAGGACGCCGAGATATGAGGAGAATTCAGAGCCTCAGAATGCAGAAATAAGGATTAGTACAGTGTGATTTCGACAACGGCTTCAGCTTATCTAGTTTCATTTCGAAATTTTCGCTCCCAGATCATTCTCTTTGACCTGTGATTACTGATAACACCAATAGAGAAAAAGTGTGGCCGAAGAAGGCAAAGTTAGGCCCTTGGTTGGTGCTGTGGACAGCACGGGAACTCTCGGAAAGGGGAATCGCGCATCCGGAACCCACGTGAGGTTCCCTGTCCTGCTCATATCTCAGCATCCTTGTGGCCGCATTAACATCACGATCTACAAAATCCTTACGTTGAAATTCCTGTACGCATCGTTTCAATTCTCGCCTTTGGCAAAGCACGCCAGGCAATTTCACAAATACGCCGACGCGTCTCTGTTTCTCTCCACTGGTTTGCAACCAACGTTTGCAATCGTCTATAAAGTCACCGTTTTACTCATAAATCCACCTAATTAACGCCATACCAAGTTGTTTAAGTTATATTTCAATTCTTACACTGCATGATGCCACGCTGTCGGTGCCGTACGAGCCATGCCTTTAAGAAGTTCCTCAATCAACCACCAGTATCGTCTGGTATCGTCTCGGTGCAGCACCTGCGACACATAGAATCAGTTCAACTCAACTCAATCTCATGGTGGCGTCTTCGGTCCACTTTCTACAGTTCGGAGATAGCAGAGCAGTTTCGAGCGCTTTCATTATTTTGTTACGATACAGAACGATATTTTTGCATCGGAGGATCTGCTTGGGCGCACTGGCAATGAGGGGAGTTCGTTTGTTTAAAAAGATGCGACTTCAGGCTACTTCTAACTCACTGATCATAATATGACCAACATAAGTAACATGGGAACAAGAATAACTTAACATTTTATCATTAGAAACAGTTTTGCCAGCTCAGTGTGAGCTTATTTAGAAACTATATGTATCCTTTAAGTATCTTCTATAAATATGTAAGGTACTTAAGTTGTCGACAGGCTACAGTTATCAAAAATACTTTGCCAATTGTCAAAAAATCCACCATGGTCACGTTTTCAAGCACATCACGTTATCGTTACCATTATCGATCTACCACTGGACATCCTATGTGCATTGTTCTCTTGTTGTCAGCTTGCTAATGCTAACAAGTAGCAGGTAAAGTTCGAGGTGTTAAATATCGCCAAGTAGATGTGGCGCTCCACTTATCTTTCAATTGCCATTTTACAAGAGGTGATGCATAGGGAATATGGCTTGTGTATAATTTGAGGGTTTAACTACTATATCGTAGTATTATTCAATTTTGTAAACTCACATTGGTAATACAAAAATGCCAAGAAAAATATGCGTCTTCGTTTAGGTAGTCGTAGAGAAGATCTACGGCCGGTGCTAACCACGACCAGAGCTTGTTAAGCACACTGAATCCATGATACTTCGTTCCCATTGCCACACCAGCAAAAAACTCTGCAGCAAGTCGTTGCTCGGCTCGCTGAAATTAGTACCGAAACACTCAAAGAAGTTGGCACTTGTGAGAAGAAGCTATTCTTCACCTGACGAGACTTCAAGAGCTCCTGCAGGGTTTTCGTAAATCGATCAAAGATGATTGTGCTATGGGCAAAATTACGAAGCGTATACTAAAAGTGAGCTTTTCCGTCTAGTTTTTCTCAGGAATGAACTAGCACATATGCACCTTCACTATCCAAATTGTGTATCCATTGATTTCTGACGAATCTCCCTTCTCAAATAAAAGTTGTTCTATCCATTTACTGTACACTTCCATGTTTTCAAATGTTGATAAAATTTCTGCCTCACAGTCTGTTAGTTTCGGTCTGTTTACCTGTGGCTGCTTAGCAGGAACAACCACGCTGATAGTTCTGCAAGTAAACGGCATTGCGTGGTGGTAAACGCATTAGCCCCCGGAAAGGGTAATAGCTCGTTCGTTCCCCACCGCAGACACCAGCTTTTCTCAAAGAAAATCTTTAGTTCTATCAATAATCATGACAGTTGGGTTACATTTTATCTCATACGTACTTTGGCCACTTATAACAGCCAAACTGTTTTGAGAAAAACACCGTATTATTCCATTTCTCCTCAGTATTCGGATGATTTTCCGAATCGTAGACGAGAATCATGTTATCCGGACGAATTCCACACTTCAATGGTATCGATTCTGGTGGCTAAAGCATCAACATGGTATTATGAACAGGAAGACCTTCCTCCAGTCTGTCATCACCTTCTTCGGACAAACCCAATCCATTCGAATTGTAAGCGCTTTGTTTTTCTTGAGCCAAAACGACAACTCATCTGCACTTCGTTCACGATGATACTGCTCTTCGTCAGTGAATTTCGACAAGATAATCTGGAGTTAAACATTATGAGCATATTCAGCTTCTATCACTACGGTACCGAATAAGACGTGCAAACAGAAATTAACCGCAGTGCAGCACATGAAGGAAAAAATCGCTAAATCTACGTAAAAGAGAAGCAACATTTGAAAGTTATGGGTAGGCTAAATGATGAGACAGCAAACGCTCGTCACGCGTTCCTACGAACTAAACGGCTCCAGATTAACACCAAACTTCTAACTATGTGTAAGCACACTACCGTAACCACTTAACCGCAACCGTTTATTCCATCTCCTAAGCTCACCTTAATAGTCTCTAGACGAGACTTCTCCATCTGACACCGCCAAAGCATTGTCCGGCACAACTTAACGCGAGTATGCAGCATATCCTTGTTAGCGAAACGTTGAAGCAACATTTCTACCAAAGCCTTCTGCTCCCTTAATCATGAACTTCAATAGACAACAGTGAAGGTTAGGTTACCGTCGAAGTCAGTGAACTTAGCAAAAGCCATCTCCTACTAGAACTGAGAAAACTTTTCCCTTGTTACCATAACTCGCCCAACGGTCTACAGCATTTACAGATTTGCAAAGTACTTGTATGAGTTGAAAAGTGGTCGTTTCGTCCCCTTCGTTCCGTAAATGCACCGTTGTTCCTTTTGTATCTGTTTCCGAGATTCTTCAGAAAATTAATTGCTCACTAACTTCACTATGAGAAAATGGAAAATTAGTAGCTAACGCTTTGCTTTTGTTTCTCTTCTCTTCCTGTATTTGCCTTGTGAGATCCAGTGAGTTCTTACAGTTGAATTTCTGCCATTCACCAGTTTTCGGAAGTTTCTCGAACATTTTCTCACAGAATGACAACAGCTTTTCGCATTTCTATAAAAGAAATTGTTTGATACTTTGCTTTCTTTCTGAAGTGCTCCAAATGTGTTCAAGTATACGAGACAAACGTAATGCTTAAGTGAAGGCTTTTGCATATTTCCGATATCACTGCAGATCTCTTCGAATACGTTCAGAATTGTAGGCATTTCGATGGCCTGAACAGAATAATAGCTCTGACTTAAGTAGTAAACTAGTATCTACAGAATGGAACAGTACGTTCATGTCAAGAAGTGCTTGCCACACTTTCATCTTGGCCGATTTCCTAGTGTTAGTTGCCCATTTAGATTTTAGAATCACATTCAGAGCACCCTAAATTGTTAGCACATAAATGCCGTAACTCGGAATAGACCAATAATTCACTCTTTCTTGATGAGCAAACACTTGATAATTAACTCCCAAGACCGACTTTCTATTAACCTCAGCATTGATTCAATATATCTTTCTACTTCTGTTCAGCAAGCACGAGGTGCTATTTTATTTCTTTATTTACGCACAAGCTGACGTTTCGGCGGATTTCGCCTTCCTCAGAGCCTGGAAGGGTCAAGTTGACAGCAATCTACTCGGCCAAACACCTCCATAACCAAACAGAGAAAACTCTAAACCAAGATTTCAATCACATTTAGCATAGCTCTGCACACTCACCGCTTTCTATGAGTCTTCCACTGAGTATATCGCGTGAAGACCGACCGCACAGAATTCACATGGAAGCGTAATGTGCTCCTCCCATCAGAATAACAGGCTTATAAACTGTCCAATATCACGCATGATAATGAGGCATTCCTCGCTGTGGTTCATTTTCGGATTCTTGGAATTAATCCGGAATGCCTCTAGAGTTTTGCGCGCTTGTGTTCTCGACTCTTGCGCGAGGATCGTAACTCCTACTTCAAAATCTCCGTCTCTGCGTCCTATGCGTGCCTAGTGGAGTATTTGGTTAACTTTTGCCGACTAGGTGTTCTTTTATACGTACGTAGAGTGGTCTACCCGTTTCGCCAACGTATTCGTTCCCGCACGCTTTACAAGATATCAGATAGACTGTACCCGAACTCATGCAGTCACCGTCTCTACCATTGGGGCAAATTATGCAATTTTGCGTTGCACATAGACGGTCGTATAGGCGGTTACGAACTAGCTGGCGCCTTAGATTATTCGGTGGTATTTCGATTATCGTTACCGAATTCTCTAGACTGGCCCTTTTTAAACAGCGTTTTATAGCTGCACTTACTTTGTTTGAAATGAAGGGCAGTATAAACGAGACCTTGTTGTCGCTAGAGTTATCGTTGGAGTACTTGTGGTTTCCTCTACACCTATCTAGAGCTACGGTTTCGTAGCCATTAAAAAAGGCTATTTGCCGTGCCAAGTTCCGGGACTGCTCTCTCTGTTGTCTCCCTGTGCACACGCTGGTAGCCGTTCGATAGATCTCTCACAAGCGCCCTTTTCGTGTGAGAGGGATGAGAGGAGAGGTAATGAACTAGGATGTTTTTACTACTTGGCTTTCGATACCACTTCGTAATGTAGCCGTTTTCTGATAGGCTAATTTGCTTGTTCATAAATGGAAGCCAGTCTTCTTTCGGTTTCTCTCGGGTGAATTTAATATACTCTGACTCTTTGTTCAACAACTCGAAACATCTGTCGATTTCTTTTTGCGTTGAACAAATGACCAAGCAGTCATCTATATATCTACAGTAGAGTAACGAACCGAGGTCGATTACTGGCGCTTCCACCTTAGACATGAATGCAATGGCGAGGCTTGGAGCCAGTCGTTGTCCCATTGCCAGCCCTCTCATTTGTGCGTAATACCTCCCGGTCCATCTGAAGATTGAGCAGTTCAGGCACTCCTTTAAGAGTGTCATCAACTGCTGAAGCGAGAAACCGTACATGTTTATTGCTCCTTCGTGTTGTATAAGGAGCTCGTTTATGGCTTGCATAGCGGAGTCATTCGACACGTTCGTATAGAGGGCAGTGACGTCGAAGGACTCCACCACGTACGCGCTGTTGGGTCGCGCGTTACGTAGACGATCCAGGAACATTTGGGTGTTCGTTAGATGAGCTGGAATGTACTTCAACAACTGAGTAAGTATTAGTGTTATTAACCACGTTATTCTATCTGTTGGCCCGTCCACGCAGCTAATGATAGGTCTAACCTTAAATAACGATGGATCGGTAGACACGAGATCATCGCTGGATACTAACTTATGGGTTTTGATAAGTAAGTACAAGACGGGACATGTTGGTAAGTCGATTTTGAGATGAGAAATAACTGATGGTTTTAACCCGGCCGCTCTTGCCACTTTAACCCATTCGTTGTTTAACTTTTGGTATTGACTTTTAAATTCTTTCTCAGACGACGGACGATAAAGGGAAGCATCCTCAGGGTGCTTTTCCGTTATCTCAACATCTAACTGATGGGGAATTACAACGAACTCTCCACCCTTATCACTAACCGATAGTCTTATGTTTTTTGATCTTATCAGCAATCGCCCCTACTCTTTGTTGTTCGCGCCTATTTTGCGCTTCATCCTAGCTTTTTTGCGGAGTGTATCTTGAAGTTCATGTAAACTACATGCGACCCTACGCTTGATAATTACTAAATACGAATAAAAATCGATCAATTATTAACAAATCAATAAATATTGTCTATCAAGTTCAACCTCCTGAGGTTATTAAAGTCTTTCACTGAGTGGATTGAGTATCAATTCCACTCTTCCAGACTCTGGAGAAGGTGAAATCGCCGAAACATCAGCTATTGTGAAGGGATAAATAGTGTAACAACAAACTCGTCTTTACTCATCAAAAAACAGTGAATTGTCATTTAGTGCAATACTAACAATAATAGTTACCCTAATTTTCTCCTTTGATGCTTCCTGATCAGTTAACACCGGAATGACACTATCGATCATGGCCTCACTTGAGAGAGTGTACTCAGCGAAGACAAGGGCCAACTCTGTTTGAGCTGCGACGCGAACCTGAACTATGCAGCTTTTCCAGTGACCAAAAACTTCACGGCCTTTTCCAGGCCATGAGTTGGCAAACCTCAGCATATACGTTTAGGGACAAACGTGTGAGAAGACGAACAACACGCAAATGAAACTCAGTGAACGGCGTCGATGTAGCAGTTGCGTTCTTCTAAAACGAGATGCTCTATCAATGGGTGTTTGCTATTCTCTTTTAAAGTCAAAATACAAATCCATTTTCGAATTCATTACGCAAATTTGCATGTGTTACAGAAGTCATTCTCAGCTTACTATACAAGAGACTACCTAGGAAACAAACCATAGGAAATGGGCGACGGCGGATTTGTCACACTTCATGCAGTTAATGTCATTGGTTAGAAAACAGGAATGGACAAGTACTAATAGGTGCTCTAATATAAAACGGTTTAATAGAAACTTTTGAGTTAAATTTCGTGAGATTAGGGCAGATTATGTTGGAGTGCTGAAACATACCATGTGGCACACATACACCAACGATTCGTAGACATAACTCGGATAGCCTTTTTTGACTGGATCCGTTAGATATGTAAAAATCTCATCCTTAATCTCCGTTGCGGTTGAGAGTTCGCTCTGAAATAAAACTGTTGTCCCCTAAGTTACACGAAGAAGAACATACTCGATTCGTCTGCAAAAGAATCAGCATTAATGTGAAAGCTGAGTGTCAGGTGGAATGGATCACGGAAAAGAAAAACATTTACACATTGCGATCTATTGTGTGGCTCATCAAATGATACACATCGTCTAACAAATTTTACTAACCGAGTCAATGTAGTTGGTGTGGATGAGATAGTGAAGCATCGAGCAAATGGTGATCAGCACCTGACTGTGCTCTCTCTGACAAGTCTCTGTCTTATTAATGACATTCTCTATTAACTCCACAAGCATCTCCCGAACATTTCTATTGCTAGGGTGACAAACATCTGAACTTTGCTGTTTTAAAATATGGAAACAGTCATGAAAGGATAAGGGATAAAGCATTCGGCGTTAATCAATCACTGAGAAATGTGTCATACATTCGTGTTCACGAAATTTCGTTAGAGGTAGTTGAATGCATATCTGGCCTATACAACGACTTGTGGTGCTCTGTCGATAAATATGTCAGTACTGCCATCCTACTAGACAAGTGTGGTAGCAATCTGAGGTCATCGGAGAGATGGAAGGCTTGTTGACCCCTGGGCGCAGGTTCGGGCTAACGACCATATTATGCGTATTGCAGGGCTCCTTTGAACACAAAACCGCCCGCGCCCTTGGGATCAGTCACATACATGGAAAATAACCTTTACAGCTTACCTAATTTGAAAACGGCCGCATTAGGAATATTGGCATTGAACCACGGTAAAGCTGTACTTGAAGACTGAAATAGTGGAGAGGAAGGTAGTGAGAAGCATGTAGCACCACCGGTGAAAATCGAATTGATTATGGTGAACGATTTCTTCAGAGTTTCCCTAAATCGAAAGCTTACGCTCATATGCAAAAACTTTAAGCTGGATAAAACATATGAGAATTGGATATGTTTTTCTAGAATGTATCCACGAAAACTAAGCTAAAAGAATAATGCTTTATCCTCCTCACAGTTGAGCTTAAGCCTCTTCTACCCATTGTGTGATTATCGGTTCGAAATTTCTTCTCGACTAGTTATAATAAGAATTTTTCATTCAGTTTCTGGTATTTTTACTGGTGTTAGTTTATGGTGAAGGTTTATAAGTGGTTACGTTTATAATAAGTTATATATAGTAGTAGTATTTTTTAATGTTTGTAGGTGTTAATTTGACTTTTTTCCCTTGCATTTTGCCGGTTTACATGGTTACCCTCGTAAGTATTTAGATCATCCGGATACGTATTCAGTTTGGAAGGTAATTTCTTCTTTTGGGTCTTTCGTGAGTGTTTGCTTTGTTTATGTTTGTTTTTTGTTATTGGAGTCATTTTACAGATATCGTTTGGTTTTGATAGATAACTGTTATAGTAGGAGTCCTGAGTATAGATATAGAAGTTATGTGTTTGATCATAGCTATCAGTCGGTTATTTGCTTTAGAAGGAGAAGGTTAAAATATTAAGACTCTTAGTATAGGATTGTATTTTTAATTGCAAATTAAGGGGTATTTGAGTTTTGATAGGATAGGATAAGTTAAGTCTATAAGGTTCACATCCTTTGGCTGTTTTCTCTTGTTATGTAAAGGTTTAGCATATAGAAGAGTATAGGTTATTGTCGATAATTAGGTCGATGTCGATAATTAGGATTTACCTTTGTGATTAGTTCTTTAGTATAAATTTTTAGTATGTTTGATTTCCAGTCAGTAGGTATAGGAATTATTGATTTATTTTCAGGGTTATGATTTAGATTTTTCTGGAAGTATATTTGCTGTTTGTATAGATTGATTTCATGGGTTTAATTGCAGACTAATTCCACTTAATCTATTTGGCCTATGGAGCAAAGCAATAGGTCGTGATAAGAACAGATTCACAATAGCATACTGGAATCCAGAAAATGGAGGAGAAAACATTTCAGCAAACCTGTCCACTTCCACCGAATTCACAAGGTCCATAACCGGAAAGAGGAATTTCTTCAGCATCTCTTCGATAACAGCTTTTCCTCTGTTATTCGGAATATGCCATGCCATTTTCATGTCTTTTATTTCATATAAACGTCCCCACTCCTATAAACACATTTTTTACCCTAGTTTAACAGCGTTCCTTACCGCTCTCGCCAAGCTATTAGTTCAGACGCACTCGTATTGGTACCCACTCCTTCAGCGACCTATCCAGCTTTTCGCTCATATATCGAGAATTTTCAGGATATACTCGAGACAACATGTACATACTGTTCCACAGTCCAACAGAACCGCTCTGTAGCAAATCAATGAGCGTCGCAAGTATTGCCCATTACAAATACGCGTATGAAAAGTCAAAGATGAAACCACGACTCACAGCGTACGCTACTTTACTTTTACAAGTCACTAGGAAGTCAATCATCTCAAAGCAGATATCCTTGTGGTTGATGTAGTTCTGAATAATACTTTATGTGTGAAACGCGAAAATGAAGATGAAGAAAGATTTCAATCTGCTCATGCGCACTTCACTAGTTGTTGCCAGCAGCGACGAGGCCAAGGAAACAAACCACGAAGCAGTAGCGTCCAGGTCCTCGGCTTCCTTGACTTCCGCTGAAAAACGTCATATCAATCGCTATAATGAAAAAAGAAAGGTGGTTTTCTATATTTAAACCACTTACGCGTTAGAACTATTCTTAAATTGTGCAGCACGTGTTTTGCAAAGAGTATCCAGAACGAGGGCAGCTCCTAAACAACGTAGAAACTAGGATTTCAATACAATCAATCCGTTTTTAATTCTAACAGAGGCCATATGCTCCTAGAAAAAATGGACCTAATGATTACAGAAGCCTAGCTGAAGTCGGGTAATGATAGCATTTTTTGGGGTACTCCTTAGTCTTCAGCCGGATATTTATCACTTCGCAGCACTGATGCAATTTCGTAGCACAACTTTGTTCGCTTATAGTCACACAAGAGATCAGGCTAAGCAACGAACATATGTCATCGAAGCCATCATCGACGAAATCATATCCGTGGCCAGAGAGCTTTCGAATTGATTCGTCTTCACGAACTGTAACATTTTACGGCCGAGTTTCTGCAATGAATAATATCACTAGTAAGAAGACAGGAAGATATGGATTAAAAACGAACTGAAGTCACGGAAGAATTTGCATTCTTGCACATAGCCGTCACGCAACGATCGACAGCTTTTTTAAGAACTTTCTCTTCACTTCCATCTTTGGTGGCAACGTCCTGGAAAACATCAATTTTGACAAGCATCCATCTTATCACTTAGTAATTGCAAATAAGTACTGAAGCAGCTGGTTTAAAGCCTACTACACTATCTAGTGAATGATTTACAGTGGTTTAAATGCTAATCCTACGGCATTACTTTCGAAGATGTGTTTTTCGTTTCCACAAGGAGCATAAAGTAGATCTTCCACTAGTGTACCTCTTCATCTGCTACTGCTCTGCACGTAAATGTTGTCCCACCTTGAATCCTCCGATGACCGTTGACGAATCTTTTGGAGCTGTTATGGAAAGACACTGAATAATTTCGAGCATTCTGAAATTATTCCGTTTGTTTAGAATCGTGCATTAGAACTTTGGTGCTGAACAATTGCATTCAAAATGCGCTTCGTAGACATACGGTTTATTTAAATGTGAATGAGAGTCCGCTGATCGACAAATTTATCTTCTACCGTTTTGAGAAAATCTGCCACCAAATAGTAGACCATGAACGAAGACAAGTTTCGGTTTGCTTAGTAGAGCAAGAATCTGGGTGGGTTCGCCTCCGTGTGAGTGAAACTGCGCTATATGAGATCTACAGGACATGATCTTACATCATCATGCATGGTCATCTAGCACTTTTTTTGTTACATGAAAGGACAACACATCTACCACACTGCGCGGATCGCTACGCTACTTGCATTCAATTCGCTTCTCCTTTTACCCATCATCCACGACGGTATTCAAACATTTCTGCGGGCGCGTTCGGCCAGAGCTTGAAGATTTTTTCGTCCTCAGCACTAATGTTGTTAAATGCTGTAATGTCAATGTTAAATGCTAGTCCAGTCACTTCTCACTGCAACCCTGGGATAGCTGTACTACAGTGCTCCCAAATAGATTAGAGAGAGTGAGCTTGTCCTAGGCAAGCCTCACCTAGAGGGATTGGGACATCCACGCAATGAGAGACACCACTAGCACTGCGCTACTTGCACCTTCGCATCCAGTATTATAACAAGAATATCAATGAGCCCTTTACCAATTTTCCAACGACAAAAAGCCAAATTTTCCGCAATGTAAAAATTCGCCATCTCAGCCTCGCTTTAACTTGTTACTGACTATTAGCTCAACTTAACTACGTTAACTACGCTCAACTTAACTACGTTTTGAATGTATGCCATCATTTTTAAAACAGAAAATAGACAATTTTTAACAAAGAATACGTTGACGACGTTCAGCTTTGAATAATTTCGTTAGCAGCTTGCGACGACGATGCTACAACTAATTAACTCCCGTGCATCGGTCAACTTGAGAAAGTCACTGAGTTTATTACTTTGGTTTAAACCTGCGTTATTTACTTACTTGTTCAGAGCCATCTCGGCAAGTACCGGTAACCTTGCCGACATCTTGCAAAGTGCTTTCTCTTCATCCGTTAGATCTGTGTGATATTTCACACAGTCAGAGTAATCAAGAATTGGAGTGATGCAGAAAATCAGCGTGAGATTCTGTAATGTTTCTACGATTCCAGCGTTGTAAACCGACCTACGCAACGGGTATTACATAGTGAACTCACGTGAATGGTAATATTTGCCTTCGAAACATCATTGATGTCGATCCCTTCGATGAGCATCTCCAGAAAATAGAACAAGTGGCATCGAAAAGTGCTGAGACGATTTCTGATGTTGAACCCTAGTGAACGACTGAGCTTGTTGAGAGAATATTCTGCTATCGGAGACAACGGCGAGCGAATCTGCAAATTATGGACTGAGTAGGAATAAACGGGTTTAACACTGCAGTTTTAAACTAGAGCATAATAAGATTTTTCTAAAGCTCGCTCCCAAGGAAAGAATAGCAATAAAGTTTTTAGTGTTAATTCGTTTTGATGTCTTTCATAAGCATACAGTGAGCTGCATATCATGGGCTGAATAGTAAATTCGACAAACTTTTTCCATTTTTTCGATCCAATCCTTTTCCATTTTAAGTCGTTTCAGCGAAGGGTCATTATCACGAGCAATAAGAAACACTGATTCGAATAGGCAATCCAGAGTCTGCGTCAGTCGATGTGGTTCGTCGACAGCAAACATGGCCGGATAAGTACTGAATATAAATCGCTTTGCTTCAATTGCATATCAAGTATACCTAGCACTGATGCTAATATGAAAACTCACTGCTCGAAAAACCTAGGCAAAACCCTGCCTGGACACAACGCAGCGAGAACCATTACTAATTTAGCCGGAGTCTGAAACAGAAACGTTAACAGCAACGAAGTCGCAGGTTTATTTGGCGCTACCCACTTTTGATGTGCTACCTTGCTTCGCGTACAACGCATACAAGAGTGACTGGAGAACGGCATCGGTGAAATTTGCAATATCGTCGTCAGTAAGGTAGAATTTTGTTGGTACCTGAACGAATCCAGTTATCATGCCAACAAGAACCTTTTAACTATGGTACAAGCGGATCCCCATTAAAACGTCACCAGGGTGCTGCTAAACAAGTTTACAACGGATTTTACCAAGTTCACAATATTTTTTAGAAACGGCACAAAATGTTGCTGCCGTAGTCAACGGTAGAGACGAAGCTGAGCGACAATTAAGGTACCTCATGATAAGTAATGATTGTATTGGAAATATTCTGCTCTCCAAGTTTGCACTACTAGCAAAAAATTGTTCATGAAATGTCTCACGGATTTTCAAAATAAGGAACTCGTGAAAAAACGAGAGCACTTTAAAAAATAAGCGAATTTAATAGCGCTGTCTTCCATGTAGAAATCGGATGTTGGCATTTCACTTTTCCTTCCTTGCGGAGGTATATCTAGATCAGTTTCATTAGCAACACTGTACTTTCGGGTCCGTCTACAAATGGAATTTAATCGTTACTGGACTTGTACGGGGTAGAATCCATTCCACAGCACCTTCCTTACATGCGATACTTTCGCTATGTCTGTACTCTCCTCAGCAATAATTTCCTGTTGTACTATCTTCGCGGTAGTCGTGTGGTAAAATGATTAGTGGTGCCTTGCAGAATACGCTGGATCGACCGCTGGTTCGATACCATGCGGCAGCCTCAGCAACCTTATCGTCCGTGCAGAGTTGGAGAACCGCTATCACCGTATGACAGTGGACGAATTAGAATAAATCGCGCATCTTTCAGGAACTGATTAACGTCAAACGCTTTGTCCTTCTTACTCCTTGGCAAGACAGTAATAACTATACACTTATTACGAAACTAATAGCAAAAAAGCTCTGCAAGGCAACGTAAATAACCGCGAAGAAAATGGCTTAAAACCAACTTTGGCAGAGCAGCCTATTCCTCCATATGAGAGAAAATCTATTCACATCGGGTTGTAGGTGTTGGAAACACATACACAACAACACATACGAAGGCCTAATGTTATTAGAATGCATTAAACTATGTATCAAACAACCACTATGGTGCTGAGATATTTGCAAAAGACAGATCCCCAGATGAGGTTCGAATCTGCGGTTACCTCTGAAAGCTCACGAATTATTCATTTCACCACCGGGGTCCTTTCTTTGCCTTTCTCTGAGCAAATTTTTTACTGTATTGGTGCTATTAGGAATCACCAGTAAACGAGAATGGTCTACGAAAGACAAAGAGGTACTAAACCTAGTTAAGCTGAGGCTGCGATTGCAATCAAGCTCGACCTTTTATTTATTGCATACTATTTTACGGGTTGAGGGATAGACAAAGCAAATGTCTGGGTGGTGGAGTGGGCAAGACGTGAGCACCCGGAAAGAGCAATCACAGGTTCGAAGCTCAACTAGGATCCCAAGTTTTGCTAATACCTCAGCATCATTGTGGTTGCATTTCACATAATACCTTGCCAGCCAAAGATAATATGCAGCAAATAAAAGCAATCAAAAAATGTGTATCAGACGTTGTCTGAAATCTTATTTAGTGGACGACTCCTAATTAAAGCCAAATTGGCAACGCGATTTTGCAACACCGAATGTGAAAACTTCATGAAATAAAGCTATTGTGCGAATAAGTGCTAGTTACTTGCACCGTACCATTCGATGATGGCTACAACTCCGTTGCTGTGGTCCATCGGAAGCCCTAATTTCGGGACACTGCGGTCTTGATGGCCAATATTTTTTTGAGGAGTTCATAGTGTTAGCGCAAGTGAAAATCCAATGTGATAAACAAACTTCTCTTTTGTGTTTTTTAACTCGTTCTTCGATGTAACGATTCACAAGTTCTTGAAGGATGTTATGAAGGAAGACGAGCACAAGTAACGTATGACCACTTTCATTTGATGGATGCATGAATGGCTCGACAACCTCCATCATTCGTCCTAGGTGTTGCTGACAGCTAAATTGTGGCAGTACTTCAATGCAGGATTCTGAGACTACATGACAACTTAGTGCAAAATTAATTAAAAGCATTGAAAAATAGTTTTCGCTGTAGGCAGCTTCAGCACATACACGAAAGGATGGGTCCCAGCTAGTTCTATCGAACTCTTGCCATCAGCAATCACCCGTCAGCGGGATTGATCTGGGGAGCCCAAATCGGCAACGAACCCAGTTAAGCTGAGGCTGTGGTTATAACCACAATTTTAACTTATTATTTAATGCCTACTCTTTTTAATGGCAGGTATATATTGCGAGGTATAACTTCAGTGATGCTAAGGTATTTGCAAAACTCCGCGGTGGAGAACGAATGCGCTATTGTCCTTTCCGGGGAGTAACGCGTTCATAACCACGCCATGTCGGTAATTGCTGATGGCAAAAGATCGATAGAACTAGCTGACAGACAGGCGAAACGAAGGACCCACATGGTGTGGTGGTAAACGCGTTACTCCTCGGAAAGGACAATAGCGCGTTGGTTCCCCACCGCAGACACCAGCGGTCCGGAGTTTTGCAAATATCTCAGCATCATTGAAGCTATCTTTCGTAATATATATCCTACCATTAAAAAGAGTAGGCAGTAAATAATAAGTTAAAATTGAGCTTTATTCTTTACTTTTACCCACATTTTAAGCTACTGGGCACATTATACATGTACCGTTGTTTACAATTATCGTAGGGAAATACAATCAACTGTGGTCTTGTAGATTAACAGGTCCGCTGCAGTTCACCATCCGGATAGAACCTGATCATCTTTTTTCCGAGCTACAAAAGTGTCCTCATTTTTGAGGAAGGTCATGGTAAAACAACGGAAAAAATTACTGATATACAGGAACACCTCTGGGTTTTGAGATCTTGCCAAGTAATTTCTGACAAGTGTGAAATGAACAGTGTTCCCCGTATGTTCTCAGGTGTTAAAAGATGAAGGATAAAGCTCTCAGAGTTGATCAATCCGTGAGGGACGAACCATTCATTCGACATCATTATGCCTCGTTATGAGCAACTCAATGCCTATTTGGCCTATAGTGGTGTAACCTTCTGATGTACCCAGTCAGTGCTGTTATCCTCCCAGGCAGGTCCAGTCCCGATATGCCGACTCCGGGGGGATGGAAGGATTGGTGAGGCTCAGGTGAGGAATCGATCCCGCATGTACTTCAAGGCGCCTGTAACCACTGCGCTACATGAGCTCTTGCTCAGGTGATACGACACTATATCCATACCACCACACTGATCTTACTTCATCGATCGTTCAGGAATGGACTGATGACTCATATATTCATAGATTTGTTAATTCCATATTTGCTGGAGATTCAACAGGGATACAGAACTGTTAAATTCATACCTATATGGTCCACCGAGTGTTGCCACAACCATTCGTGCCAATGCACTTAAACTTGTCGCACCAGTACCGTCACCTACCTGAAATGCGAAAGGCAGTCAGCTTTCTTTACTTTTTAGTGAACACATAACGAGCGACCGCTATAACCCCAATACAAGTGATTCTTTTTTTGATGGTTTACTGTGACACACAAAACCTTCTTCGTAAATTTCTTGTAGTTACTCGATAGCTTATCCAACCCAAATGATGTGACGAGTGTCGACCGAGAAAGCCTTTATTCTTCACTTAGAAACGCAAAATCCTCTTTCCGAACAGTTCATTTAGCGACGATTTGACTAATCGCTATAATGAACCACAGTTATTGTTAGGAATCTGCGGGCATGAAAATGCTGAATATCATACTATAAAAATGCCGTTATAGCGCAAATTGCGAAACACTTCCAAATGGTGACAGCCATGTGTTTACACGATGGACGCAGTAAATAATGGCATGCACGCCATTTACACCTATTTAGCTATAAAGCAGGCTGTCCTCTAAAATCCTGTACTGTCCACAATCCTTCAGGTTGTCATCGAAAAAGAATCGTTTTATCCATTTTATTTACTGCCCATTCTTTTTAATGGCGGGGTATTTTGCGAAATATAACTATTATAATGCTGAGATATTTGCAAAACTCCGGACCGCAGGTGCCTGCGGTGGGGAACGAACGCGCTATTGTCCTTTCCGGGGAGTAACGCGTTCACCACCACATCATGCGGGTCCTTCGTTTCGCCTGTCTCTCGAGATCGATAAAACTAGCCGAGAGACAGTTCGAAACGAAGGACCCGCATGGTGTGGTGGTGAACGCGTTACTCCACGGAAAGGACAATAGCGCTTTCGTTCCTCACCGCAAGCTCCTGCGGTCCGGAGTTTTGCAAGTATCTAAGCATTATAAAAGAATCGTTTATTGCAACGGTGATGAGATATTCGCAAAACTCTAGACCGCAGGTGTCTGCAGTGAAGAACGAACGCCGTGTTTCGCTTTCCGGGGGCTAATTCGTTCACCATCACACCATGCGGGTACTTCGTTTCGTCTGACCATTAGCTACTTCTCGCGATCACTGCCATCAGCAATCACCCGTCAACGGGATTGATTTTGCTAGCCCAGATCAGCATTGAACCCACTTAAGCTGAGGTTGTAGTTGAAGCCTCAATGTTTACTTTGTATTTTCTGCCTCTACAATTTTTACGGTATAATACCCTGCTGTGAAATTTGTAGAAGCAGAAAACAAAAAGCAAATATTGTAATCGTTTATTATCAGGAACCGTTAAGTCCGTAAATGCAGGAAATTAGGAGACCTCGTAAACCACATAACCACCAAACGCTGCGTGTTCGTTATGTGCTAAAATAAAAAAAGGAATCATGGAAGAACAAAGTATTATGTCTATCATGTTGGATTACACCCAAACTTGCTACACGCTGAAGCATCTTTATATTGAGTTATTAGTGGCACAAGTGCTTAATTTCCACTACAGAATGTAGGCACTCGCATGATCTCTTTTAGCACTGCAAATGTTCCTATAGAAAAGTTCTGCATGCGAATAGTTCCAAAATTGGAAATTCGCGCTCTAGATGCGAACGAACCATATCACAAATGACTTCTTAAAATATTTCTCATGTTTTATTTAACCCGATCAATTTGTGTGAGCACTCACTGCCACCTTCCCTTCGCGAATACTCAAACCCATTGCTCGAATAGTACGTGTAAATATTGTGTCATAGAGTGGTGTCCAATCCATAAAATCAGGATTATTGTAAGCAAGTCTGAAAAAGCTTCTCTTTTGAAAATTACGTTGTTTTTCCCATGAAAACGTGCCAAAACATCTCACGTTGCAAAGAGGTTCGGCAGCTCTGATCCCCATTTATTCCCCATCTCTACAACTTCGTACATCTTCCACATCGTGTCAAACCACAAACCGGCACCGTAACTCTTGTGCTCCTAAGAGAAAATGAAAAAAAACCATTGGAAAAGGATTCATTGCTGTATCAACATGAACGATCTCAGATTTCGCCTCACGTCAGTAGTCATCTTCACTGAAAGAAACAATAATGCAAGGTCACAAAATTCCTTCGTGGAGTAGCGCGGTGAAAGGTAAACTTGGATCTGAACACAAAAGAATATAATATTCCAGTCTACAGCATCTGATTCTCATCCCATTTTCCAAGCCAGTTTCTTTTTCTTTTCTTGATTTTTTTTTCTTAAAAGTGCCTTCTGCCTATTCATATTCATTTTCTAAGGTTCCTTAAAATCTTCGCCGTGAGCAAAAATCGATTGGTAAGATTGAAATTCTCTTACCCCATTCAAAAATCTTTGACTCAGCAATAGTTTTTTTTGCTATACAAGAGATTACCAACTCTATCCCAAATTTCCGGAGTATCTGTTGGTTTATAGAAACGTTTCAACCGAAAAACTGGATTGCGCAGCTCTTTTCCATCCACTTCTTCTAGTTTTCCATAGTTTGCACCGTAATAAAGGTTGAATAAAGGTTCCCAATCCAGCGACAATTCCTTATAGGAGAGATAGGATTTGCTAAACATCATTATCAATATGTCCGTCTATGTATGTATATGTGCTAGCTCAGTTTGAATTCTAAATCGTACATGACGAGAGTTTCTAGTGCTTTTGCAGCATAATGGATTATTTCTGGCCACTGATCTTTCTTCACGAGTATCAGATAGAGCAGGCGAATCAAGTTAATGTGGTCCTCTCTTTGGAATCGAAAGCCATATATATTCAAAAACCTGCAAATTAAATGTGCAAATTATTATGAATAAGCTGTCAAGTGTATGTTAAGCCTTTCCAATTCTACTGAAGCTTTTCATTACAGTGAGTTCCACGAATTGTATAGCTCACCAAGAAAACACAAAATAGTTTTAAGATGGATGACCCCTAATAATAGTAAATAAAATGAACCTCCCGCCGTTGATCAATCCTTGAGGGATGCGCCATGCATTCAGCTTCATTAAGCATCGTTCGGAGGTGACTGAATGCATACCTGGCCTTTACGGTGGCTTACCGATGCATCGAGCCAGTGCTACTATCATCCCAGACAAGTACCAGTTTGCCGACCCTGGAGTGATGGAAGTGGGCCATGGAGGCGCAGGGATCGATCCCCCCGTGTGTGTTGTAAGTCGCCTCCGACCACTGCTACCCACGCATCCGCATCACCAGGATGAATGGCCTTTGGTGAGTGAAAGTTCCAGTTCCTATTTGCCTGATAATTTCGTTTATGGATCACAAGTTGTGGACATATTTTTCTTTGCCAAGAACCATGGTAACAGAACCAACATTATATTTCGAACAAATCAGGAATCCAAATGCCTTATACCAATAGTCTACTCAAAGTTTTAATTTTTTTCCTTCTCAGCTCCATTGGTACATTTGTAGCAATTCGACTGAAGATGAAAGCTGTTTTTCAATACTAGCTTGATTACTGCTTCAAAAAAACTGGCCAGTAAAATACCAAACACGAAATAAAAAGGCAACCATCTACCCACTGATCTCTTCAAGGCTGATACAAGTTTTTTTTTGACACAATGATACACACTTCCTTTCCTAATGGTTTATTGCATCTTAAGGTAACCCTGGATGTTGAATTGAAATATGCAGTTGAAGTTCAACCTCAATCAGCATCGCTCAAACTGAAAATGAATTTCGTTTATCTATCCGGAAAGCCGGCTAAGAGTTATAAAGCGGCAGTGTTGGGCGAGCCATGCCTGCTTCTTTATTACCATGAACAGTGGATAATGATACAAAAATACGATGCTCTTCATGTTTCTTTAGTAAGTGGGACCCATTTTACAAATTCGGTGCGATCAGAATTTATTGACCCTTTATCGAGTTACTCGATGACTAGGATTGCAAATGGTACAGGTGCACGGATTTCCCTTGTAGAAAGATCTCGTCTCGGTTAGTCGCGTGGCACCGTGGGAACGTGGCACGGCCACAGTTGGCAAAGAGTGGGCAATCGCGGACCAAAAGCGAAGTTATACTTCCCCGAGAAGCAGCTGGATCCATGGTATGGACACCCTGTTCCTACTGGGCGGATTTTACACGTCCCTTCTGTGTCTGCGTGGGCGTATTCATGCGTGCGTGCATGGTTTGGTCTTGTTTATGCAGATTGTATTGTACGAGCCAATCCGACCAAAATTCTGCAATCAAGCGCTAGGGAACAATACGGGAAACGGTTAAGAATCGCCTCCTATAAATAAGCTCCCCGTCTATTCTGGGAGAGACCGGCAAGCTACCCGTGAGTAGTATAGCCAGCCTCCACGTTCGAACTCAGCAAGTTATACGTGGGTGTCAAATGCTACACATAGTAAGATAAATGGGTCCCATTCCCATGACGCGAAGGAGCCTCCGATACGGCAGCGTTGGGTAGGACAAGGATGGAGAGGCTGCTAGAATATCAGAGTTATTCTAGGTTGTTTAAATCGCAAAGGACTAAGGTGACGATCTGTACCTGTAGTGCAGGCACACTAGCACCCCAGTCGTCCATCAGTGAAAGACTTGATTATCGAAGCAAGAAGGATAAGACACGACGTCATCAGGATGGCCGAGATCAGACGACGCCATCCATTCAACATCGTCTATGACACCGGAGATCTGTTCCTCGGATCATGCGACAATAGTGGAGTCGGTGGAGACGGCGTTCCGTGAACACGAGTTTGTCCATAAACATCGATTCATTCGAACAACTAATATTGAGAATCGGAAGATAAAAATTGAAAGAATGCGGATCAATACCGGCTTTCACAACAGACAAGAGCTTATAGCGACTGGATTCCTCAGTGTTTCCAAACGCATAGCAAGAAGATAACCGACCCAATGGTCAGAGTTCTTCACGAAATCCCTACAGGAACAATATGATGCTCAGAAAGTCCTTAGAGCGAGCAGAACTACCAGGCTACTCTCGCACTCCGCAGGGAAAAACGGAAGGTTTGCTGGCGTTCTGCTTGAGTAACTCGACGATCAACGGGATGACGGGTTGAAAGACGTCATGATGAAGCAAATAAATAATGCCGTACTTATCTAAGTCTTTATTAATGTCCCCTAACCAGAAATAGTTGGCTCGACATGTAACAAAAGAGTCGAACCTGTGCGGAGCAATACTTGAAAAACACTGGTCACGCTACGCTTCCAAATATCAGCGATATATATCTCGCCTAGTACACGGGCATCAATGCGTTTTGTGCGATAGGAATTGCAAGAAACAGCACTTTACATTCCGTTAGGCTTAAGAAATGCATGTTTGCAGTTATCAACGTCGTACAAATGTGGTGAATCACTCCCCTTTGCTTACGATCCCATTCATGAGCTTTTTTCCATCTTGGCGTTATCAAACTGATGCAAACCTATTTCACTTATACATATATATATATATATATATATATATATGTACTCATTTTATTCATTCACAGGGATAGCCTCGGCATGAGACCGATTTTTTTTCTACCAGTTCACTAATCAATATGCATCACTCGCACTGAGTTCCGCATCATCTAGACAGTCGTGTAGGAAAAAGTTGTGATAAACCCTTTCGTTTTTCGCCAAACTACTTTCATCTATTGAGCAACAGTAAGGCGGAGACTGCAGTATGAATGAATACTTCAAGAGCATTGTTGCTAAAGAATTATAGTAAAGCTTTCTCACATCTTCAAAGCGTAGATATAGTTACGTAGAGCCGGTCGTTGTTCGTTCACAAGCACAGCAGTAACGAGGCCATGTTTAATGTGTTCAAAGCGAGCATCCACTTCACAGCTGAGTTCTTCGTAATATGGAAGCAGCGCGAACTTCTTCTCATGACGTCCAAACTTTCGATCTGTGTCGCGTTTCACTCCAATGGCACCATCTACCACCATAAACAGTGGCTTCTGTAAGGACTGCTAACCTCAAGCAATCCAAAAACTAGGGACTACTATTAAACTCACTTCCACAGCTTGCCTGTCGGCCTGACTCATGCGAATGAAGCACGCTGCGTGTTTTCTAACTATCATTTCGTATAAACTTTATCGGTCTACAAGCAATATATGATAAAAAGAAATGTTGCATTCAACACGTTTAGTTCGGTAATAGCATCTCGAGCAGCATTGAAATTTTACCAATCTCATAAAAACCGACTTTCATTAGATCTCAGTAGCAATAATCAATAATTTTTTTGTATGACTGAGCTATCATGAGATTGGTGTGAAACCTTTATGCAGATAATGTTTCTGCGACTTCGCCGTCCTCGGAGCCACATTGATCCGAGTCGATGGCCCACAGCTGGTCGTTGTGGCATCGAGTTCAGTCCTGTAGAGAGATCATCACTCAAATAGTTAACTTAACTCAACGGTGCCCTTTTATACAGAACTGGTGCTGATCGATTGCCGCCTCCAATACGATCTACCTGGACGAGCAATGCGTCCTGTAGCAGCCGGTACATTATTTGTTGACACATAGCATGGCAATCAGTATCTTAAAAATGGAGTGAACCATTGGAGCGGTGCTCCCTCTACTGGATTCAGCTTGACGCGATAACGATCAGTTGTGGACCATCCACTCGGATTACAGCGGCTCCGAGGAAGGTGAAGGCAACGAGTAAAGGATAGAAATGATAAAGCTCTCGGCAGTGAACAATCCCTAAGGGATGCGCCATGCATTCGGCTTCACTAAGTATCGTTGGAGGTGACTGAATGCATGCCTGGCCTTTACAATGACCCGCAGTGGGCTACCGATGTATCGAGCCAGTGTTGCTATCCTCCCAGACAAGTCTGGTACCAGTTCGCTTACTCGGGAAAGATGGAGCCCTTGGTGGACTATAGGCTCGGGGATCGATTCCACGTGTGTGTTACGGGATGCCACCGATCACTGCGCCACACGCGCCACGTTAAAGCGCCGAAACGTTGGCCAAATTATCCGGACCGGAGGTGTGTGCGGTGGGGATCGCACTCGGTATTACCCTTTCCGCGGGCTAACGTGTTCACCACCACGCTGTGCGGGTCCTTTTTTTCGCCTTTCCCTGAGGTGTGTTTCTACAAGTACTATCAGCAATCAGCAGGATTGATATAGGAAGCACAAATCGGCATGAATTAACTTCAGAAGGATAGCGAGTTCGATCTCCATCGAAGACACCTGCGGTCCGGAGTTTTCCAAATACCTCAGCTTCATTATGGTTATATCTCACATTATAGCTTGTCAATGGGCAGTGGATAAAAAGTGATTACATCGTGATCGATATGATCGAGTGCGATATCCACCGCAGACACCTGCGGTCAGGAGTTTTGCAAATATCTCAGCATCATTGTGGTTATAAGTTACATTTCTGACGAATTTTATAGCTGAAATTTGAGGTGCCATAACAGCAAACTTTTATTACTACTGTTTACTTTTACTGCTTTTACTTTTTACTACTACTTACTAATTTTAGGAATTTAAACTCGGCCATAGGTGACAGAAAGAAACATTGAAGAGGTACGAGGCCAAGTAAATGTTAACGAACGTTCAATGTGTCGCTAGCTAAGAAAACTTCGTCGTGGCGAATTCGACCTTGAAGATTGGAGGGTCGTGAACACTCCCCTGCTATTCACAACGACGAACTGAAGGGTTTGACTGGAAACAGGGCAAGCGTACCAACTGTTTCGGAGCATCTAAACGGAACTGGAATGTCGATGAACCTTGAAAAAGTTCTGCACAAATTGAATGACAATCAAAGAAGTTGTTGTTTAGAGGCATTGTCAGCCCTTTTTCTGCGCAACGAGAAGCACCCGTTTCTCGACCGTATTGCGACGTACAGCGACAAACTGGTCCTCTTTGGTAATCGGAGACGATCGGATCAGTGGTTAGACCGCGATGAGGCTCCACAGCACTTCCCAAAGCACTTCACAGCACAGCAAAAGATCGTACCGACCGCTTACTGGTCTGCGCTGGTTTGGCCCATCAAAGTATCCTGAATCTGGGTAAAACGATCACAAAGGAGAATTACGTCCAGCCGATCGACGAAATTCATCGGTACCTTCAACGGGTAGTTCCCTTATTGGTCAATAGGAAAGCATAAATTCTTTACGATGACGTGCAACCACACGCCATACAACCAACGCTGCATATGTTGAACGTGCTGGGCTACGAAACCCTGCCTCACGTAACATACTCGCTAGGCGTCCGGTCTACCCACAACCACTTCTTCAAATATTTCGAAAATTTTCTGCGCGAAAAATGCTTCAGAAACCAAGCCGAGGCCAAAATTTCCTTCAACAACCTTGTCGCTCCAGAAGTCCGGAATTTTACGCAACCGATATAAGCAAACTTGTTTTTTGTCGGCAAAAATGTGCGGATTCCAATTTTGTTATTCCGATTAATAAAGTTGCCTCTGACCTGAAATACCGTATTTCGAAAACACGCTTGGAATCGGGAATTAATTTTCAGCGAACCTAATATTTCCAACTATTCTCCACTTATGTCGGTTTCCACGAAATACTGAGATATAATGCATTGGCCCTTGGCACAGTGGATTCCACTGAGTTTTCTTGGCAAGAAACTTTCTGTGTATTCTTCCTTCGTCCGTGCTATCCAAAAACAAAGAAATGGCTTCTTATTGTGTCGACTATTCATTGGCTTTTATTCGGTACGTATTTATAGGTTTTCCTTTTATTGTTTAATATAATCGTCCAATTTTAAATTCATTTAGATTCGGATTCTCTCTCTCTTCACTTACGTCCTCGATTTCGGACATAATTTGACCACTGATTAAGAAGGGCCTTCTTAGTTGTTATACCAACGGCGCATTATGCTTTCAGTACTCAAGATCCCAGGATAAACTTAGGCTTTAATATTTCCACTGATAAAGGCAATGAGTAACATTAACTATGCCATTCAGCTGGTTCGCAATTATCGATTCCCATCCACTTTATCTGTCCAATCGATAATTTTATTGTGTGCACTTTTATAGCAGTTGCTAGCGGTAATTAGTTCTTCCAGCCAGTTCTCAGCACAAAATAGCCACTAGCTCCAAGTACAATTCTCCAGACGTTACCACGTGCGACTTTCCTGACGTCATAGAGCGATGCCTCAAACCTGGATAATTAAACCATTTGTAACAATACTAATAGTGAAAAAATAACGATATGCAGACACCGAAACAATACAAAGCGGAGCTGTGGTAACATGATCAGTAATTGAGGGAAGGATGGTCAGTAGCTTTCTTATAGGTTGATGGAGCAATGCGATTGCACGTATGAGGTAGGCACGTGAAAGGATTCATGTAGGGCCGTAATACCTGACTTATAATGGCAATACTATAGGGTTACACACCATATGTAAGCTCGTTATATAGTTCCCATGAGGCTACTATGTGAATTTAGTCTGTGACAACATTGCGATAAGGTTATCGTATTAAGGAATACTTATAAACCTCTGACAGCATCAACTTATAATGACTGCAGAATGATGTTAACGAATTTAAAGGTAAACATTCGAAGACAATCATCGCGATGAGCGTGGATGATTACACTAAGCTAATCCATTCTTCATGAACGTCGTTCTTGTGAGATTTAGTCGAAGATGAAATATGACCAAAAACATTGGCTGTATTTCACATAATACCCTGCCATGAAAGAAGGAAAAGAATAGGCAGTAGATAAGAAGTTGGAGCATCGTTAGAAAAGTGTCCCATTGCAGATAGTCAGGAGAGGGGCTTTAAAATGATATACAGCAATAATAATAACTAAGTAATAAGTAATAAGAACTTACCACAAAGGGTTTTTGCACAATAAGTGACGGCTCGATGATCTCAATACTACCAGATCACTGAAAATTAGGCCGCGTTGTAACAGAACCTTGCAAAGAGCTCGAAAACTTTGCTACCAGTGAAGTTCCTAACGTTGAGTTCTTCAGCGCCTCAAAGAAAATGCTATATGCAAGTTGGAATTGAACGGACGAAGTCTGGCACTCATCATGTTCATCTCACAACCTCTACTACCAGGAAATACCGAGCATCAGCCAGCAAGCAGAACCAGAAGAGAAGTCGGATCATCGGGTCTGAGCAAGACGAAGACGTCGAAACGTTAGCCAAATAAATATTGATAAAAGCCTCGTGTTAGCTTATCAATGAAAAAAGGTATATTGATCATTCATGCAGAGGTTAAATGAAAGTCGAGCTACAAAGTCAGTTTACACTTGGATTTTAGTGGAAAAGAAGCTCATAGAAACCGACTCTATCATGTCAAATTTATATCCAACGATACATATAACGCCGACTGCATGGGTAGATATGTCCCCTTGTTGGAAAACAAAAACGGTTTCACAAGGTGACAGTTGGGAAGTTGTACGAGAGCACCACCATACCGATCGAGTCCATTGCCTGAGCTAACGAAGTTACATTATACACCTTGAACTCAAATGCAGAAATGAATGTCACTTAAGAGACTATTAAAGCACCTACTAGGTATGACATAGAGCTCTTGGTGAGGAATATTCAAGGGCTGAAAAGTTGGCCGACTTGCATTTGGTTACATAGTAGGCTGAACACTGAAGAGCAACAGTGCTCTATCGTCAAAAGCTGCTCTATCGTCTTTCACTATTTTCCCGACGTGCTTGCCCCGCGAAAATTTTCCTCTATAGTTTGGCAATCATAGTTCTTTGAGATTAACCGTAGCTTTGTTGCTTTCTCGTCAAAATATAACATGTGGTTTTATATGAGTGGCAAGCGGAAAGCTCAGAAGCGAAAGAGCAAGGCAAAGGAAAGTGGCGTGGATGATTTCGATGATCTTGTCGAGAACGCAAACGATGACGGATGTGGGTTGTCGAGGAAGTATGCAACAGATATTATCAGGTTTGTTCTATTGTCGTACTTCATCGTTGGATTCCTACTTGGTTTCTTTTAGACTTATCAAGTGCCATTGGAAGCCGTTGAATAAAGTTGCGGCTGAGTTTATTGAGGTAACTGTTTGATCTGATTCTCTACCGACGAGGTTCAGATGCAGAGACCATTTAGATCTTCAAAGAGCGATGTTCTTTAGTTGTCGGTATGGCGCTGCTTGCTATCTACGATGACTTAGCTCCTACGGATGATATCGCTAGCAAGATTGTTACCGTTTATTTAATTTACAGGTATGGTTGAATATTTGACTGGTCTCAGCTTCTCAGTGGTTAGCGTAATATCATGCGTTGTTGTTATTCTCTCAGGGTCCGTGACGTCGAGGTAGCTCTTCGAAGACGAAATCCAGGTGGTATCGATGACATTCTTGGACATCCGTTCATGTCGTTCTTTCTCAACCTGGTATGTCTCTGTTTCTGCGCATCTTATCATAAATTCATAATTGTTTTCGTCTTAGTACCAAAATCAGCCGATCTTCATTTATCCGATGATGCCTTAGAAAATGAAATCATTTGAAGAAACAACTACTCTTTATGTGAGGGCTTCCAACTAGTGGTGCGTGTAGCGCAGTGGTCGGAGGCCCTTTACAAAACACATGATATCGATCCTCGCACCCAACGCTCACCAAGCCCTCCATTTCTCCGTGGTCGGCAGATTAATACCAGATTTGTCTGGGAGGATGGCAGCACTGGCTCGATATCGGTAGGCCAACGCCAGTCACTGTATAGGCAAGATATGCATTCTATCACCTCCAACGATGCTTATTGAAGTCGAATTCATGGCGCATCCCTCTGGAATTGATAAACGCCGAGAACTCTACCCTTTTTATCGTTTTATCAAACTGGTAAAGGTCACGAAATATTGTGACGGAAATACTTTCAACGTACAACATTACTCGCTTTATGTCCATAGTTAGATGAGTCTATTAGGATGTTTCAGGTGGAGTCGAAAGTGGTCGACGAAATTTGTGTGTCTTATCCACTTCCGATTGGGATTGAACGTTCTATTGTGTTGCGGATTCTTAATGGAAAAACCGAGTTTGCCAATATGAGTGCTATCGATCTTCTCGCCGGTGGAGCTTTAAACGATGTTAGTTGACTTCCCACTACGATGCACATTTCATTTTCTGCGAAGGCAGCTCATAGGAAATATTTCAGAGCAATTTAAGCTTTTCCGAAGCAGAGAGTTATTATGTAAAACAATCGGCGCGATGGCCAGAACACCTTGATATGGTCACCATCCCCGCGATTCTTCCTTTTCCCGATCCCGAGGACAACAGTCTTCATGAGTTCGTCTTTCGCCCCAAAGATGTCCACTTTGCACTTTTGATTAGATCCATTAGTCCATTTGTTGCTTGCGACAGTTCATTTAAACCTTTACAGCTTAACACAGGATGCCCTTCTCATATCGTTAATGGAGCGGATATCTTGCGAACCATTGAAACAACTCCCGTTTAAAACCACACCATTGATGCCACCACTCTATCCTATTCAACCCATTGAAGTATGTTTAACCGTTATAGGTATTTGTACTACTCTACCATAGCATTTTAGCCGTATTTTCTTATCTTTCCTCGAATTTCATTTTGAGTTCCGTGTGAAAAAAAGTGAAAGAAATGGAAGCTGCTACTATTCGTATTTCGAGGTAGCAGCACTTGCCGGAAAAATTCATCGGTAAATGAATCTTTTCGTCAAAGGTAAAATCTCCACTTCGTATTCGTGATTGCTCAGAGTGTGGATTTTTGCAAACGAGTTGGGTTTTTAAAAGCATATTTCGAGACAACTTTAGAAGAATAGGTTTTGTGGCTCTTAAAGGGATTAAATGGGAAGAAAGTCTGACAAACTGGAATTCGGATCGGTTCTTTCTGAAATATCAAAGGGGACTGTTAGAAATATACCAAACTCTCATTTGTAAAAACTGTAGTCATTTGCTAAACATAATTTTACATCTCGTATTGCAGAAATGTGGTTTTTTTTTTCATAGTTCAAGGTTTCACATTGCTTTTTTCTCGTAGTTCGTTTTTTTACAAAGCATTTTTGCTGTATTACAGCTGGGATGCGATGACAACGAAATTTTGACGAGCAAGGTACCCGGTGTTGCTTCACTCAATCCTAATCCTTCGGCGGAGAAGACATCAGTACCTAGCGGTAGGTATTGCCTAGTTGGTGGACTCGTCTATTGCGATTGCGCCACTTGTACATGTATGATTACTCATTTCACATCTGACTTTCGGTAAGTTAATCCTTTCATATTCCATATATTCATGTGCGTAGAAGGAACTGGACAGCGAACATTCAAGCGTTAAATTTCCTTCATTTGGTTGGGATCAGCACTGACCACCCCAAAAGAATTGTAATTATGAACATAGTATGTAGATGATTTTTTTTTCTGAACAGCTCAGAATGTTAGGATGAAACCATCTCATGAGGACGCCACTTGTTCCTCCGTAGCATCACAGTCTTCTACAAACTTTGCCAGTTCACTATCACAGTAATATAATTCCTCTTAAAATTACATAGTTTATCTTCGTGGCATCAGCTGTCACCTAAGGTACCATCAAATTCGAATTAACTCATATTCGAAACGAACATAAACGAAAATAGTAAGAAATACTGGTAATTATTTTTTTGTGATTATCACGAAGCGCAAACAATTTTATATAAGGGCCGTTTGAGGTGAAACTTTGTTTTCGTTGATTCCGCGTATTTTTGTTAGCTGGTGTAGTTGAAGAGTTGAGAACTTGGCATACTTATAGAAGAGGGATTTCTCTATCCTTGTAACCACAAAAATAATTTTTTAAGGGTTATTTTGCCTTCTTAAAATTCGAGTTTTCGAAAGAATTTAAGAAGGAATTTTAGTTGGAAGCGGATGTGTACGAGTAGTAGTGTATTTCTTATTCACGGTATGAAATGTCGTGCGTTTTAGAGAGTGCCACAATATTGATGGCATCCAGTACCGTAGAAGAGCTCAGTGTGGAGCAGATGGGCGAAATCACACGAAGATTGCTTGAAGGAAAGTCGCTAACGTAAGTATTCAATAATTTGTTTGAAATGTTAATGCTCAACGCCTGACTGCGTAGTATTTTTCGTGCTTTTCGTGAATTTCGTCTTATATATGTTCGTTGCAATGTTGTTTCTTCAACCAGTTAATTGTATTGTTTCTACGTTGGTACATATAACATGCATACATGTACATATGTATACATGCGTATACATAGGCGTATATATATGTATGGGGCACGTATGGCGCAGTACATGGAGGCACCACTGCGACACACACGTGGAATCGATCCCCGTGCCCATGGCCCACCAAGCTTTCCATCCTTCCGTGGTCGGTAAATTGGTATCAGACTTGTCTGGGAGGATAACAGCACTGGCTCGATACATCGATAGGCCACCGATACTCATTGTAAAGGCCCGATATGCATTCAATCACCTCGAACATTACTTAATGAAATCTAATGCATGGCGCATCTCTCAGGGATTGATCAACGCCGAGAGCATTATCCTTTATCCTTCATATATATATATATATATATATGTATGTATATAGATTGCAGTTGAGATAATTGTGATGCTTTTGTTCAACTAATCGAGAACTGGTTTCCAGGCAATTCGAAACGAAACAGATGCTGAAATCTTTGGAAGATTCGTGTAGCAGCCACAAATATATCAATCTGTTTTCACGATTGACTGACTCTGAGCTCTCCAGGCTAATCGATTTTAACGTTAAAGTTTGTATTTGGTCCAAGTTGCACTCCCAGTAAGGTTCTATCTAAGTTTGTTATTTCCCACTTTTTCCAAGTTTGGGTTCGTTCTCCAGGAGAATTTGGTAATTTCAATTTTCGTGTGAAAGAACCATTTGATTCTGTGTTGTTATGGAAATAGATTTCTTTCACGGATATTGCTCGCTTGTTGTACGCGACTATATAGCGCGTTTTCTGGTAACGGACGTGTGGTTAATCGCGAAGCCGAAGAAACCCTGTATTTCGCTGAGATTAACTAGATTTAAAGGATAGTTGGACTCCCTCTTTCAGTAACGCCGATTTAGCGTATACCTACTGCATTTTCATAGACACGTTAATGCATACATGTGTGGATGTGCTCGTGTTTATGCAGATTCTGTTCTGCAAGTCAGTTCGGTTCAGCTTACAATTAACCGTGAGGTATGTGAGAGGTGGTAAAGTGTCACCCCCAACAAACAAGCTTCACTCTGGGAGAGAATGACAAGCTAACCGTGAGTATCAAAGGGCCTTATTCCCCTTACTCTGAAAGAATTACCAATACGGCAACATTGAGCACCCCGTCAACACGAGTTTGGCACAAACATCGATTTATAAACAATTCGAATCGGACGTTTACGGTTGTGGAGACGTGGATCACTACCGGCTCTGATAATTTTCGTCATTTATGCCACAAGATCTAACTATGACAAAGACGAAGTGGAAACGTCCTAAATGAGCTTGGAGAAGTTCTACAGAAAAGACTAGGCATTCTTTAAAGTCATCGTTGAAAATTTCAGCGTTACGATTGGATCCAGAAAGCGTCTGAAAAACGGACCTACAGCTTAGAATGGAATGAGCCAGAACCTTTCATAGTAACTTGCAATTCCAGATGCCGCACTCTCAACGTAAACGCTGGACGTAGGAGTCTCCGTTAGAGACTACTGTAATGAAGTTGACCACATTATCGTAAATTGAAGGTTTTGATCAATCGATCTTTCTGTTGTCTTAAAATTTTATACAGAAGCTGACCATGACCATCGCAACCTTTGCGCAAGTTCCCTTTTTTTCACGTTAAGAAGACAAAGACGAGGAGTACAAGAAACGGAACCCCAAAGTGACCATGAATTAGGATTTGTTCAGACCACTGGTCGGTTTTAAGGAAGACGGTGTTACTAAAAACCGATGGAGAATACGATCAACTTATTTAATATATTCACGTCAATAAAGGCGGGAGCTGTGAAGTCACCAAGAGATGCCTATATATCGAGTCATTGGTTAGAGGTAATCACTAACTTAGGTGCGAACGTGCAAAGCTCTGCAGAATGTTAGTGAAGGAAGATGCGCCAGCATTGGCGAAAACAGCAGCGGTTGAGACGAGCATTCGCAATGCCTACCGAAACATTGCCATTTACAAGTCTGAGACGATCGCACTCCGACGCCTAGACTGAGCAACAGCGGCTTTCAGAAAGGCAGTGGGAAAAGTCATTAACGTCTACAGCTCTGATCTCTTCAGTAGCCTTGTCTTCGTACCCTCATATCATATTAAGGAGGTTTGATATGTTGTTCTCAATTCCGAAATACGATATGCTATTTCGTCGGTGGAGAATTGAACATTACCGGATAGCGTAACACCCGGCTACTTAGAGAACTTTTGGCCAAACCTCGTTAGTACACTTACTCGACTCTTCACACGTTAGCCTGTTAGAGTACATAATACCTAGTCAATGGACGACCAGAGAGACCGTGTTGTTTCGCAAAAACGGGTACCACAAAAATGTCAACTATCAGCCATCTACATGCTGTCTGTCGCTTGCAAACCCTTCATTCTGGTCAGCTCAATAATACTAGCGAAACATTAGACGAAGGGCGACCATATGAGCCAGCAAGATTTCGAAAAGGATTCAACGTGATGGACTACATCCACACAACAACAAGAGTCATTGAGGCATCGCAAGAGTGTAAGAGACCACTCTGATTCATTTTCATCGATTTATTAAAAGCTTTTGACTCAGTTGCATTTGAAGTAGTCGTGGAAGCCCTGGAAACTAGTATGTCCCTGCTCAGTATACAAAAATTGTTCGTTAGTTATATAAAAATTTCGCGATCAAAATGTCACAATTTCTTAACGGCATTAAGAATGACGTTGAAAGAGGGTTTAGACAAGGCGATTCCATCTCGCCAAAATTATTTGCCTACGCTCTCGAGAACGTCATACCAACATTGAAATTGGAAAACATGGGATTAAAAGTTCATGGTCACCAATTGCATTATCTTCGCTTTGCTGGTGACTCCGTCCTTGTAACAGCAAGCATTAGCCAGACGGAACTAATGTTTCCCGACTTCGGTAACGCTTGTGGAAAGATTTGTCTTCGAACAAAATCTCACGGAAATTATATTTCTGATGAATGGATTTCTCTCATATGTCTTCTTCTGGGTCGGTAAGTCAACATAATGAACGACCTTGTTCTAGAGTTGAACAGGAGGAAGCGTGCGGCTTGATGAGTTTTCAAGAGTATCGAGGGTGTAGTGAACAAGCTTGAGAATAGGCGACTCCATTCCCACTTTTTTGACTTCACCATGCTCCCTACCTTAACGTATGAGTTAGAAGCTTTGTCGATACTTAGGCAGGATGAAAGACCACTCAGCGTTATAGAACACGGATAGAAATGATGATGGTAGCAGTATCCCGTACCACCCATTTGAGAGAGGGAGTCCAATGTTCCAACAGTAGGTCGGCGGTCGAAGATCAGAGACGCCGTTGTGCGCATCAAAATGTCAAAAATCAGATGGAATTGAAACATAGTGCGGTTCAAAGATAACCGATAGTTAAGGACAATTAGCGACTTTATTTCTCGGAATCGGGCCAACGACAGTTACGAAATTTAGTGGCGCTCGTTCGAGTCACTTGTAAACCGACATGATTATAGTGAAAATAGAAACCCAGAATCTGAATTCTTGTTATATTTTGCTGTTTTAAAGAAAGTGAGGACGTCTACCAATGAGTCCGTAAAATTACTGCAGTATTTGAAGGGTAATGATACAGTTCTGCGATGGTATATGGAATTTACTTGATACTTGGTGCTTGAACGGCCCGTCCTCACTGGTTGTGCGGGCTCCTCCAAAACCACCATTTTCGGAGATTTGCTGGTTAAGCCATTGTGGTTCCCTGCAATCCCGAGGTCAACCTGGCCAAAGTCTGCCCCAGGTCTTCACCATCACAGGGGGTCTCAGACCTTGTGTATCAAAGGGAGATTTGCCAACATGCGACTTTGATACTAGGACAGTGGTGGTTCCTGGTATTGGTTTACGCTTAGCTAGGCTTCCTGATGAAAATTCCGGACACCGTCTCAGCTTAGGAGACCCTGCCGCGGTGACGAATCTCCCCGCTGTGCATCGCAGCTCGACACCCAGGAACACCTCCCAGCTACGATGAGGCAGTGAACCGTTAGAAGGATATGAAATTTTAGCGCCACAAGTTGACTGTAAATGCCGTGTCACGAGAAGACCTCTCGTGGCTATCCATCACTGCACAAGCTTGAAGTAGTGAGGTTGCTAAAGATTCTGAAGGTATCATACATCATCATCTGAGGAAGCGTTGGCAAGTGAGATACTTCATTTCTTGGATGCCACACTCTCGAACAGAGGAGAGCCATATCTTCTGCGAGCATCCAAAGAAGTGCTGTCATTTGACCTATCGTCATTGCTTGGGCAGAGAATGTGAAGTTCCAGAAACCACCCTCGAATGTGGAGTCAATGTCATGGAGGTGGTGTTCTTTGGAAAAGTTACAAGCGGGTGCTCTTATACCTGTTTTTTCACCAACAATCAGACTGTCAGCTGAGAAGAATGCTGGCAGCAATTATTAGAGTTGTGTGCAGCTATTGAGAAGGCGGATACAAAGCCATACAGTCTCTGTCTATGAACATTTGCTAGATGCTGTTATAGTGTCGATAGGATGTTTTAGTCTATCCCCTATTCCTCTCATGTCTGCGCTTCAGACTTGCATTTCACGACTACTACAAATTTTGGAGGCAAGGTGTGCGTTTCGTTATATTGGAGGCTGTCGAAAACATAGGCGACTTTTTCGCTAATAGCCGTATTCTCTCGCTGAACCTGGAACATTCCATGTTATTGCTTTTAATTCCTAAAAAATAAAAGTAGTTTGGTGGATTCGAGGTTTATCTCTTTTGCCCGACCCGTTCTTCACATCTCCTGTGCGGATCCCAACACTTCTTGTACTCGATTCGTTTCCTCGCATCGGTAATTCACGTGTCTGTTCCAGCTTTTTGCGCCAAGGTTCGGCTGCGGTTTGAAGATTTCCTTTTCGTCATGAATTTCCTTGAATGGTGGTCGGGTCAGTTTTCCCTGGAATTCTGAGATAGTCGGACTATCCCGACCCCAGCGGGATGACAGGTTTGGTGAGCTCTGGGTTGGGTGGAACCAGAACCCTGACAGTGATGATCGCCATGACTACTTTTGAATTACCGCTCTTGGATTGCTTCACAAGGATTGCTTTTTGACTGTTCAAGATTCGTTGAATATAACACATTCCAATAATGTCTTCTATCGGTTCCAAAGTTTTTTTTGAAATTATCTTTAGAAAACGGCTGAGCTTGTGGACTGCAAGTTCGAAGTATGAATTGTTATTAGGTACAAAAACATTTGTTCTTTTATAGATCGCAATTGAAATAGTCGACTTGTGCGTGCTAGCAGATGAAGCAACTGCACTTAGGTTGATTTCTTTTTTCTGCAAAGTTGAAAACTTTCTAAAGAAAATGTTCCAGAATTATGCGAATAGTACAAGGTATGGATGTAACTGTTCAGTGTATGGAAGTTGTCACTCGACTTTATCAGGTTTGTAGTTTCTTATAACTTAACTTAACTTATAACTTATAACTTTTTAACTGAATGATCAAGGCGGTACGAAGTTCAGAAGCAGCTATTTATTTTTTGTTGTTTTAACGTGTATGACCTTTCTTAGTACATAATGGACGATGGTGGTTTTTTGATAATTAGCAATGGTTTTCCGATATTTGGAGTAGTTGAGAAATTTTGAATGCGATAGACCTATTGAAGTGAATTTGCTCTATCACCTTAAGCGCGTGTGTAGTAAAACCAAGATTCGTCCTTGTTCAGTATGAAAACTAACTTTTCAGCAAAAGTCTGTCAATTCTAACCTTTACATCTTATTTAATATATCTCGCGAGGATCTTATCGTCTCTGCCGTCTTGGACGACATCTAATTTCTAGCCGTCTGTGCTGGTTTTCTAGAAATGGACGATAGTTTTTTGATAGCTTAAGGAATTGAGAGGTTACGAAAATGAGAGGGTTGTAGAAGATACTTGGAATACCACTCAAAGGATATCACTGTGGTCAATCTTACAACACTTTTTTGTCAGCATTTGGAAGAGTGTTGCAACTTATGCAATGCCTGTTTCAGTATTCTTTGTAACTTCATATTCCGTACAATAACTATAATTCATCGTAGCCATTAGTCAAATTGTTAATTTTCTCAACTGTTCGAGTTGAGATTTTTGTATATTTTTTTATATGCAGAATAGACCTTTTCCAGAGGACGCCCGCCACAACATCTGTGATAGGTGAGCTATCGATCGGCCACAACAAGCATAGAAAAATATCTATGCGCGAAATCAAAAAAAGGCATTGCAGCGAATAATTCTTGTCAGGAAATCGACATACTGCATCGTGAACTACATTAGTGGAGCGAAAATGAAGCATTTGGAAAGGAGGCTCCCTGCAACACACATGGGATCGACTCTCGAGCCCCCCGCCCCCCACTAGGTACCACATTCTTTCGGGGTCGGCAAATTGGTACTAGACTTGTCTGGGAGAATAGCAGCACTGGCTCGATACATCGGCAGGCCACCTCGAGTCATTGTACAGGACAGATATGCATTCAATCACCTCCAAACGATGTTTGATGATGTCGAGTGCATGACGCATCCCTCGGAGATTGATCAACGCTAAGAGTCTTATCCTTTATCCTTTTACCCTTCCATATGTCACTCATTAACATCACAATGACTAAAAGAGTTGGTATACAAAATTCTGCATTGTCACTTCATCCATGAATCCACTACCATTTCTTGAAACACTAAGAATACTGATAACACTATTAAGGAGAAAGTTTTTAATAGCCAACCCGTTCTTCAACGCACTATTAGGAAACGGACACCTAGAATTTCGCTGTTACTGAATGAATGAGCTGTATTTAGTAGACAAAGATATATTGTAAGCTGTTCTAATTTTTATTTAGGTTGATAACGGTATCTCACAAGAGAACTCACTTCTTGAAAAACTAGTGGTACAGTGTTTCATAAATTGAAACTTATGGGTCTTTGACTGGTGATTATATCTTAATTGTAGATGAAGCGTTTAGATGAGAAGGTAAAGATGTAGAGCTATTATGTGCAAGAGAAGGCTAGAGCTTTTCTGGTCTGTGAGTAATCTGTTGGTCATCTTACGCATGCAAAATTCTGTACTCATGTCTAGGACTTAACGATCATTTTAACCCACACCTGTGCAGCTGAGACGTTGCTTCGCATCTCATTTCCGTAGTATATCGAAGCGTACGATGATTACAAGGGATGCGAACGGGTTTGCTAAAGTCCGCACAACTTATGAAGACAGGCTGGGCACCGATCAATATCGATATTATGGTCACAATGAGACATGCGTATGTGCGGATGATTGGTAGCTAAAACCGTTCTCCAAACAAATTGAAATATCTGTGGAGGTTCACAAGGTTTTGAGTGACTCAAACAGACTATAAAGAATTGTGACGTATTGAGCTTATGAGCCAAAAGTGTGATATCATTTCTAAGCTTGCTAATCGCACTAGTTTCTCAGCCATATTTTTACTGTTATTACTGCCCTTATTTTCAATGAGTGTTTTTGTATTTTTTGGAATTATGTGGATCAATTCTTGAAGATTGTCTACTTTTTAAGCCAACGTGGCTAAAGTTTTCAATAATTTTCTTTTGTTCCATTTGGTCCATTTAAATGAGAACAGTAATAAAATCTTCAGCATAGAATTGTTTTTTGATCCTATAAATTAATCTGAATTCACTGCAGGATCGCCCTCAACTTCCAAGAGAACCACTCAATGATTACGTACGTTACTGCGTTCGGCATTGCTTGGATGCGACACCATCTTCAAATCTAAATCGTGTGGTTCGGCTTGTAGCAATAACTTTGAAAAATCTTCTCAAAAGTGGCAGCATTTCAGCAACAGTTAGTTTTCATCCAAACTTTTCTTAGACGTGAATGGCATTTTGAGGTGACATTTATTTTCTTGTCATGTGTTATTAGAGTACAGGAGACCGCTCTGTCTATCTTTCATCGATTTAAGAGCTTTTGACTCATTTAAGATAGAAGCAGTCATGGAAATCTTGGACAACCAGGGCCTCCTTTCGCAGTAAATAAAGATTCCTCTTGAGCTACATAAATATTTCACAGCTAAAATATTGCCGCTCTACAATGATATTAACAGCGATGTTAAAATAGGTGTCAGGCAAAGCGATACCATCTTGCCAAAATAGTTCACTCCCCACCCTCGAGAGCGTCATTCGAACATTGGAATGCGACAAAATGGGAATGAAAATCGATGGACGACAATTATTCCATCTTCGCTTCGATGATGAAATCGTTCTTATAACAGCAAACGTTAGCCAAGCGGAACGAATGCTTGCCTACTTTGATAACGCCTGTGGAAAAATTGGTCTTCGAATAAATCTCACATAAACAATGTTCATTGGGAACGGATTGGTTCTGTTTGCTCCATTCAAGCTAAACGCTACAAATTTCTCTGAATGCTCCAGTTTCTGTCTAAAGGGTGTAGTCATCATGATGGACGACTTAGTTCCAGATTTGAGCAAGAGCTAGAGAGCAGAAGTAAGCAAGCGACTTGGAGAGCTTTCAACAGTATCGTGGGCATAGTGAAGAGAACGGGAACACCCTACTTTGTGTCCACCTGTTCTACTGTGTGCTTCTTTCTAACTTAACGCATGCTTCAGGAACCTGTCCACTGCGTGACCAGGTTCAAAGATAACTCACTCAGCGTTATATAACGCGCAGTCAAAAGAACTATACTAGAGTATCTTGTATCACACAGGTGAGGGAAAGAATCGAAAGCGCTGATCTACATCAGGTATCAAAAATGAAAGAAAGCCGCCGAACTCTTGAAAATAAGGGTCAGATACGTAACTTGTATGAACGACAACTGAGAGACAGGAGCCGTTAGTGGCTGATCCTTCGGGATGTCAAACGTACTGCAGAAAGACCATTCACTAAGTGGTCAGAGTTTTTCATGAAAATCGTAGAATAAAGATGCAATGCTCAACGAGTCCCTGGAGCGCGCAGAACCCGCTGGGTAAGTCTAGCACGTGACAGGGAGAAATGGAAGATTTTCTGGCGCCGGGTCGGGTCACTCGACAATTAACGGGACAACAGGTGATATATTCATGCAGTTCTACATCGCCATTTTGATATCGTGTCTAGTATGTAGTTTTGCAGTGACTTTATCCAACACGCTGGTTTCATCTCAAGCTGTCACAGCCATTGTTTTTCAGCATACTAGAAATGTTTTGAATCTAATCAAGGTATTGTGCACCAGTTTTCCTCTGCAACTGCACATTTTGCGAAGCTAACCTAGTTTTGTTTTCAAACGATGTTTGTACAGTGAAGGTATAGCTAATTGGTCTTAATGTTTCCCAAGCTCTTCTCTGCTGACTTGTCCCAGTTTCCACTAGAGGGTTTAAAACATAAGCTATGACATTTTTCCCACTAAAATACAATTTTTCATCAGTAGATTTTCAGATTTATTGGATTCTACTGTTCTAACAACTTGTACGAAGAACTGTTTTGGCTTTCAACAATTCTGTTTATTTTCGTCATTTTTTGGATCTGCTTAGTTTAAACCACTACTTTTCTCTTTTTAAGGAACTGTCTCTTGAACTGCGAGAATTTGGTGTGAGGTTTTGTCAGCACCCAGACACGACGTTTCTTTTCAATACAGTTGGGCTAGCACAACTGAAAGAAAGGCCGTGAAGCAGCTAATGGCAAAGGCCCGAAAGCCATTGGTCGGATATTTCTAGTTGTTTTTTTCTTTGTTTATACAGGAATATTTCTGTGAGTAGTGTACACTTCCAGATTTACTCACTCGTTTATAATTTTACATTTTGTAATTATCTAGTCTTTCATCATTCACATCCAATTCGGTGCTTCATGCTGATTCCTAACCATGATGTGTTATTAGCATGTTTCATTGAGTTCAATAAATCCCGTGATAAAGCGCAGTACTTCTCAGGTTCATGTTGGTACAAACCATCATCTAGATTATTTAAGCTTGTGACGGTTTATCGACTAATTTAAAATCTTAATGTATGCATCATAGGAAAGCACTGTGTGTTCATGTCATGACCTTTAACGGCATGCAGTCATCTAAGAGCAATATATTCCTTGGCTACGTGTGTACACTGAGCAATGAAGACCGGTCGTTCCTTTATGCCCAACCAGGCTGTGGTAAGCTCGCAATCATGCTTCTTGTAAAAAACGATTTGTTTGTAACACTGACGTCGAATGAGGGGTGACAAACGTCAGAGAGAACTCATATTAATCTCATTTTCGAGGTTTTCTAACCGTGGAAGTACTTAGTTTCTAGATGTTAATGAAGGAAGTTTGTCCGTCCATGTAGCCTTGTTTAGTGTACATTATGGATTGGTGTAATTTATATTTTTTCTCAGCGCTTTTCGTTTTTCGGATGTTGCCAAACATTGCTCAACAGCTAACGATCAAGATGATGTGGAATGCTAACATTGAGTGAGCTAATATTCTTATCCAGTTTTTCTAAAGTCCCGTATTCCCACTGGGGGTGGCATCATTTTTTAGAGTGATGAAATTAGAATGCAGTAACCGTGATTTAATACGTAGAAAAGGCGCCGAGGATTAAACGCGGTGAATGAAGGAAAAGTAATGTCCGCTTTAAAGTTTAAACGAATTGCATGTCATTTCGAACGTTACTAATCTCAATAAAACCCTTTCTTCCCAATGGTTTAACGCCTCATAGTGGGTGGGAGGTGTTCCTTGGTGTCGACCTGCGATGTGCAGCACTGGGTTTCATACCTTCATCAGGATCTCCCAAGTTGAGGAGTCTGACGTTTCCATCAGGAAGCCCAGCTAGGAGTAAACCAGTACCAGAATCCACCACTATCCTGGTGTCAAACTAGTCGCATGAGAGCAAATCTCCCTTTGATCCACAAGGGCAGCGACTACACCTGTGGTGGTGACGAGCTGGAGCAGATATGGCTAGGCTAACCTTGGGAGCCCTCATGGAAACAATGGCTAAGCAGAAAAACTCCGAAAAGTGGAATTCATGCTGGGACTCGTACAACCAGTAAAGGCAGGCTATTCAATTATCTAAGTAGGTAATAAAACCCTTAGAACTCTATGAAACTTCACCTTCATAATCAAATTCCTGTTATTCTACCAAAATGAATTTCTATGAACTTTACAAAACGTATCATTTCATTCTTTGAATATAGGCTCTTCGTTCGACACGAAGGGATTTAAATGTGTTTGCGATTACCGAAAGTGCGCTGGAAATATTAGGAATTTAAACTTCGTTTCCACTGTTTCATGTTTCTGAATTCTTAAGTTGTTTAGAGTTGGAAGGATACTTTCTAAAAACCATCTATAAATTAAAGTGAAGTCTCTCCTGTAAACAGGTTCTCAACTATTGAAATACTCTAATAATTGAAGAACTGGCGGCACTCGTTAAGTAACCAGGTTTAGGATTATGTTTTCTCCAGAAAAAATACGAAGGCTTAGAAACCCAATCCTTTCGTTGCAGTGAATTGATGGTACAAATCTCTTCGAAAGTTGAATTGGATTCTGCAAGGACACTGCTCTCAGATCTGGGGCTCCTACTAAGTAAAGGGATTTTAAACGTATGTTTTTCTTATTTCTGCCTTTATTGTTCGTGTATTTGTTGAATTATTTTTCAGCTCTTTTCTTCCATGACTGAATGATTTTTAGCCAGTATTCCGGCAGTCATACTTACGTGCTATTATGCTAGGAACACAGAAGTGTGCCAAGATAAACTCAGTTGAAGTGGATATTAAACGACGACAAAATGAGAAAGAACTTGGAAAGAAAGCTGTTGAACGATGGGAATGTATATTAAAGTAAGCGTTGTTATCTTCATACACATTAAAATACGTGGTTCTATCTTATTTCTATCGTCAGCCCATTTACAACGGAAAATTTTGAAGTTTGAAGCATCCAGTCGAATTTAAAACTGTTGTCTTTGCTTAGATCGTTATTAGGTTTTGATATTCTGAGATTGTCTTTTTTTAATGGGTCTTTTAGATATCTGGCACTGCCTTCCGAGAAGAACATGAGCTCTGTGTCATCTACTACACGTGAGTTGTTTTCTGCGGCTGGATTCACAAATGATCATGATGCTTCGGCAGATCTCGAAATAACGTCGGCCGGCTTCCAGTTTTTGTTACTCAGTCCTGTTCAACAGGTTTGGACCTACATGATTGGTGAGCACCGATTTCTTTCCCTTTTTAAGTCTCCGCCCAGTAGTTATTTCTCTTCCTTCGCTTTAGTGTGGAATCACTGAAGTTGTAAAAAGAAGAAAAAGTATTTTGTATGAAATGCTGAGATATTTGCAAAACTCCGGACCACAGGTGTATGCAGTGGGGCACGAACACGCGCTGTTGTCCTTACCGGGGAGCAGCGCACTTCATCACTACACCATCTGGGTCCTTCGCTTTGCATGTATCTCAGCTAGTTCTATCGATCTCTTTTGCCATCAGCAATCACCCGCCAACGGGATTGATCTGGGGAGCCAATATCGGCATTGAACCCAGTTAAGCTGAGGCCTCGTTATAATCACAATCTTAACTCTTTATAGAACTAGCTGAGATACATGCAAAGCGAAGGACCCGGATGGTGTAGTGGTGAAGTGCGCTGCTCCCCGGTAAGGACAACAGCGCGTGTTCGTTTCCCACTGCATACACCTGTGGTCCGGAGTTTTGCAAATATCTCAGCATTTCATACGAGTTATATTTCACAACATACCCTGCCATTAAGAAGAAAAAGGCAGTAAATAAAAGAGTTAAAGTATTTTTTTACAATTCATCTATAAAATTTATCTCTTTCATCACTGTGTGTTATCTTGAACTCTACTATCTGGTTTCTCTGTGCTATTTAAATCCAGTGCGTTTTACTAAACGCTTTTCAGAATATCTAAAGCTAGAAACGGCTAAAGGTTGCGATATCAGACCAATTCTAGACCTCCTAATCAGGGTGATAATATGTGTTGTTAGAGGTTCGTTCTCACGTTTTCTATTTTCGATATTTACATGGCTGCCGAATTTCAGGGAGTAATTTCTCTCACAGAGCTTTCGAAATAAGTACTAATTGGACCAACGATCAGACAACTCTCTTGATGCACATGCGGGAACTAGGTCTCATTTTTATTAGGAAAAGGAAGGATGGGTAAGACTGTGAAGTTTTCATCGTATTAGCTTTCATGAAGCAGTGTCTTTATCATTGCTGTCACGTCGACACTTGGAAACTGCAATTTACCATGAATGATTTGTGTTGCAACAGCTTTAAAAAACATACGTATAACTTTCGCTGTCACTCTGCAATGACTTCCTCCAGGCAGTGTAAGTGTTTGTATCCCTTCGTGGTCGTTTAGCGCGTTACCATTGTGTTTAAACGTTAGAATTCTTTGTTCATGTTTCTTCAACATTCAGTAGGACTAGCTTTATCGAGTTAGTATCTTTGCCATTTATGCTGTCAACGGTTGTGCCCACCATTGATTAGAGTAGTACTTATCGAGCCTAACGCCCGAAGTCCTCCAATCTTGCGGAGGACTCTTCGTAAAATTGTGCTTCTCGGAACGTGCGAGAAGAGAATCATCACATGATCTCATTGCTTGTACTTCATTAAGCCGCCGTGTTTCCATGTTGGCAATGTTGGACTCAGATCGAGATCTACCAAGGTGTCGAAGGCGTCGAATTTTCGGTCTCGGTGGTAATATATTAGAAGCCATTAATGCTGTCTTCCTGGTGGGTATTCTTTCCGTTTGAGCAGGGTTGCCGTTGGAGATCTGTAAATAGCTGTCTACATTTTGCTTCGAATCATCATTTACGTTTGTTTAGAGTGTTAAGCTCTAGTGCTTTGCTCCTGTTTGTTAATGTTGTCCAATAGCCTTTCAAATGTATATTACGTTATAAAGATGCTAAAGCACACACTTTAGTCCTTTCTAGTGCAAAATTACGAATGTGAGTTGGCTTTTTTTCATCTCTGATTTCTTTCGCGTATATCTTAGCCTCCAGTCTCTTTCGCAACGTTGCCACTGATGTGTATCCACATCGTACTGACTTCCTATAACAGATCTCCATTTATTCAGTAACAGTATTTTCGCACTAAATTCATTTTTAGGGGAGAAATTCTTACACAGATTCCTTTCTGCTCACATCGTCCTCAGTTGTTTCTGTGAACAAACCACTGTTCGATGAAACTGTGTTGCACTTTCTTGCGTGTTTCATACTCTGTTTTGTCTTCTTGTGTAACCACTGATACGATAGGTCGCATACAGTTGGATCGAATGTACCCATTTGACTCTGCAATCTCAAAAAGATAACGGCATTATATGACGAACAAGAAAAGCTGCTTTACATCATCATTCGAGCTAGCAACAACGCTAGGAAGTCGCTTTGCGGCTGGAACCTTGATTCGAGGTGCTTCGACAACAGTAATTGGTTCATTATCTTCTGGCATGTCTACCGTGACCTCACTGCTAGCCTCTTCTGCTGGAATCACACACTCTGCGTCGACACAGGTAATGATGCTCGCCGCCGAATCTTGACAACTGGGAGATTTAGAAGTGGGAGGCTCTGTAATAGTGTTATGCCATCTATGTAAGAATCCCTGCAATATGGGTTATTATTTGCATTCTGAACGACTTTTACGTACTGTTAACTCTACGGAATTGTTGTTACACTAGTAGGTAATCGCATTTTTTCACGGTATAGTCGACGTACATAGGAAGGGAGCAAAAAATTTCCTTTTTCCGATATTTTCTGACTTTTTGATCTAAGCTGAGGCACATACATGTGGATTCTACCATTTACGAATAGTTGTCATTCAATTAAAACAAACGTTGTTCCGCTTGAGCAACTTCGATATCCTTTATGATTGGATTTTCCACTGGTGGTATTGGTGTTGGGGATTTTCGATGGGTTCCAGTGAAACGTAGTTGACCATTTAGCAAACCATCATGTGCTTTTATAATCGCATTTCTCCATGCGGGAATACAATTGTTGAAGAGTATCAAAGACACTGAACCGTGCTTGAATTTCAACTTCGTTACGCAACGACGCTGAAAGTGTCAGATTATAGTTATCCTCATATTATTTGTTGTTAATGTTATTTTTCACCAATAATTCGCTGCTTTTATACTATTGCAGATATCTATAAAGGTGGGCCATTCGGATAGAAATAGTATAACTTGTGGTTTCGTAGACATTTCGTATTACTGTGGATCGTTTGTTCAACAGTCATCATTTTTAGACTGTTAGAACTTAAACCTTTTGCTAAAACTTCAGTCAGGGTTAGTGTCGTCGTTTACTGGGACGAAAAAAAAAATCGAAAGGGTGTTCTTCGTTTGACGGTAAGCAACTGTCTGAGTTTATCATGACGACCAAGACCATCCATGGTTACTCGCAATTCCAGAAGCCCCACCCTCAACACAGGAGCCTCCCAATGGAGAGTACCATAGTGAAATAAACCAAGTCGTAGTAAATAGAAGGTTTTACTTTACCGATATCGCTGTTGTCCCAAAAGTCTCTTTCGTTCAAGGTTTCATTTCTCGCGGGAAAGAGAAAGAAACAGCTAAATTCAAGAAACGAAGTCCTAAACCACCATAAATTGGGATTTATTCAGTTCATTAATCGGTTGTTTAGAAGATGCCGTTCTCAATAACACCGACGACAAAAACGATCGGCTCATTCAAAACCTTCACGTTAGCGCTATGAAAGATGAGTGTTCGAAAGTCACCGAAGGACGTCCGTCTCCAGAAACACTCGAGCTGAAACACCAGCATGGAATCGAGCGAGCTGCAGGCAACCGCGAACTAGCGTCCGAACTTACAAAGAAAATGCAGACAAGCGGTAAAAGAAATTCTTTAAAATAAAAAAGAGCAACAGTTACAGTCGAGGCCACAGAGGCTGGGAAAAGCATTCGCAAAGTCCACCGACGCTTCGCCAATTTCAAATCCAAAGTGGTTGCACTCCGGCGCCCAAACGGAACAGTTACAGCGTCCAGAAAGGCAATGGAGAAAATCATTCACGAATACTACTCAGATCTCTTCGATAGCCACGTCCACCTTCAGTTGTATGAAATAAAGGGAAATTCTGTTCTGGATCAGACCGTTGGATTGTATAGCCAAATGTATAAGTATCTTAACAACTTTCAATTGCGAATCTGCTACTGCAGCCGTCGTACAAAGATTTTCTATTCCAGATTTCCAGAGATTAGTGTTGCTAGGGTAATTAGACTTTTATTTTTCTGACAAAATTATGCAGATTGGAGTCTGTTTGAACCTAACTGCAACGATATTTTAAAACTCACGATCCAAAATCGCAATTATTTCTACGGTAAGGTGATCTTTACTAGATGGTGATGGCACAAGCCCTCATACAAAGGAAGTCATGTCAGTGTCGCCTTGTTACTGATACTTTATCTGAATACAAGGACTATCTCTTGGTGTTTATTCACAAACGTGACTTCCAGAAAACGGTCAGAGGACAGTCGCTGCCACATAATTTGTATATTCTCTTCAAGAAAGCTATTGGTGTTAATGTTGTACTACTTCCTGCTAACTGACACCACTGTAATAGTGAGCCGTCTATTCTGCTCAGCTTGAGATTTTAGTAGTTTATGTCATTCAAGGAGAACGTGCAAACGAAACGAAGTTCCGCTTGTGCATGAAAGCGGTCAAGTACAACTTATGATAAGAATTCATAAGATAATTTCGCAATTTGACTGCAGTGTTCTGGCGTATTTTATGAACATTGCTGTTTACGATTTCTGATGTTTTAGAAATATCGAGAATAACATATGGAGCAAGGCCTTCGCCGCTGAACTACCACTCAGAAACGACAACGAGCATTTCCTAGGTTTACATTCGCTTAAGTTTTCAACAAAAAGTATTGCTAAGTTATCCGTGCCTTGCAGTTGTATTCTTGGTAATTATGTTGCTTATAGTTTTGAGTAGAACTGCGTTGCATTAATGTCATAGATTTTTTTAAAAATTTGCGCAGAGATCGTAGAACTTCCTTTAGAACGTAAGAGAATCTTGGCAGGTGGTGCTCGTGTGCCGACGTCTAGTTTTCGGTCGTTCACGCAACGAATCACTTGTGATTCATGGTGATCAGAACACTCTCTGCGTATAAGTTTTATATACTCTACTTAGGAACAGTATTTGTGCTGTGCCGGTACAAAATGCAATTAGTCGCTAAAGGATTCACGCGCGAGGCTCTCTATTTCGATACTCTCCTCATATGTAGTACTCTCGTTGTCTCTGTAACTGCGTACTTGTCACTCCCGCCTAGAGACCCAGATCAGAGAAAAAGCTTCTCTAAAAGGTTTTTTGCACTTCTTACGTGTAGAATAGAGCTCTTTTTCGTGAACTCTCTCCTGAAGATGTGTTGAAAAAGCTATCTAATGAATACAAAAGAAGTGGATAGAAGGCTCCGCGTGGTAATATATCCAAAAACGGTAGAATTACCTTTTTCCCATACTGACCAGCTTGCTCCAAAACACATGAGTGATGTATAACTCATGTCGTCTTCAATGTGTAAAATTTTTGATTCATCTGTATGGATTGGATTGGTAGGAAACTAATGTGGTACTTCCATTTTTTAGATACCGTTTCGCCAAAATTTTGTTTCAGTCTACAATGTAATCGTTTATAGTCAAGGATTATTTGAGCCTAACGTTCGTAGCGACTCCAAAAACTGCTCAGGCCCTTATTGAAGAGGGCATTGAAGTCGGCTCTTTCGTGAACAGAGTTCTTGAAACTGTTCTATTATAACAATTGAGCAGTGCAATCGTAATCGTTCATTTGAAGCCGTTTTCATGTCGAACATATTCAGATGCTGATAGGGTATCACAGTATTGTACCGAAACTTGTGTCAAAAGTGGTGGAATGCGTGAACTATCGAGGCGGTGAAGTTGTGTAGAGTGCTTTCACGCATCGTACAGTTCTTGTCGGAGAAATCCGTTTTACCAGAGACTTCTGTTCGTGGTAGTTTGATGTTCTCGATAGGTGGAGGTTCGAATTTTATTTGTGGGTTTTTTAGCTGTTTTCTTTGCGAGCTCATCCCCTTCTATATCTTGAAAAAATTGGGATGCTCTGACATTTCCCTGCAACATTGCGCCACTGCGAACAGTCGGTGGCCCAATACAATGTGGTTGAAATATGATATTGTCTTTTGATTCCTGTTGTAGGACTTACGTATGCTTGTTTATTCCTTCGGAAGTGGTCTGTCCTCGTTGTCATTATCTTGGCATCTTTAACATTGACTACATGTCCTGTAATGGTTTATCGCTAATTTCTCTGGTGATACTTTTACGATGGCCCTACCTACCTTTATCGTCGTTGTTGTAAATGATGAGCAATCCCGTATTAGTCAACGTGAGGAAACGTGGCTTGAGATCAGTCACTTTATCAAACAGAAATCCCTGAGACAAGGTACCATTAATGTGCTTTTATTTTGAGATCTTACAACTTAGATTAAGGACACTCTAGCACAGTCATCTTAGTATTTCAGAAGGTGAAACAGTTGTCCAACTGATGAAACTATAGTCAAATTGAAACCGTCTTGAAACCCGTAAGGTTCGTAAGGTGGGGCTGTACATGTATTCAAGAATACCTTAGTTCTCGTGATGCATGGAATATGGCCTCGAACTACGACATCGTTATCCTTAACTCTCCATTCTCGGGCGGATGGAAGAGTGATGGCCTGCATACAGTGTACAATCGCTCTGTGAGGAGGACAAGGTTTTAACGTATTCTGTTCATACCTTTCTGATGTCCCTGCTGATGTAAAACACCTGATTTCGTGTATTCCGATTCTTGAGCTGCATCTCTTGATTGTTCGTTAGTGGTACCTGATGACGAGTAGTTAACAGCTGACCTATCTTGAACCAGTGGTATGTTAAATGCGGCGTACCACTTTGTTATGGTTTTATGAAATCATGCTTTATCTGCATTATCACATACATGTTGTTTCACTGCATCTATTTTTGAATACTACTTCGAATGTGTTGGTCTAACACTGTTCAGCTTTGAATAGGGTTTTTAACTTTATTCCTTGCGGTTTCTTTAGTTTGTTTTTGACACGAAAAATGAGTCTAACAAAATAAGAAATAAAGGGTCTGACATTTAAATCCGTGAGAGACGCCTTTGATTCGGCTCCGTTGAATGCCGTGAAAGTGAGTGCGTAAATATTTGGCCTAAACAATGATTTACGGTGACCTTATATAACAAATCAGCGCTTTAATCCCCTTATACAAGTTTGAGACCAATTTACCGACTCTGAAGAGATGAAGGGCTTGGTTTGTCTAGGGTGTGGGGTCGAGCGAACGATAACATATGTATTGCAGGATACCTCTAAACACTTCACCACGTATTTCCATTAATAAAATAAGACGAGATAGCAAATATTTGCTGGATAGTTCTGTAGCAACCAATGTATTGGAAATGTCATGTAAAGTTATCTCAACAAATCAACGTATAAAGGGTAGGTAGAGAAGTAGAGAGTGAGCTCCAGAAAACTAACAAGGTTTGCCAAAGGCTACTAACATAAATGGGATGAATTGTGGTAATTCTTTCCAAATCGCTATGAGTTGGAAGTTGCAGTGCTCTGATGTGTTTTAGTGGTGGCGGACATATGTTCCGTTTCCTAACAGTAGGAAGAAGAAGAAAGAAGACAAGAAGATAAAAAAGAAGAAATAACAAACAGAAGTAACAAGAACAAAGAAGTAACAGAAGTAGAAAGATATATTCAATCAATGCCGAGGTTAATAGAAAGTCGGACTTGGGAGTTCCTAACAGTAAGGTCCACAAACATGGTGTTCGGCGTGTTACGGAATAGTGATGGCAGGAAAGCAAACCTTTGGATCCGTAAGATCCGGTACACTACAGTGTCCACAGCAACAATACATTAGACACAGTTTAGTAAAAAAAAAAAATTAAATCGTGATGCCAATCGGTTCTTGTAAATGATGTTGCCAATTGATTCATTTCGTCTAATGTTCTGATCATAGATGTATAATGCTGCTGAGATATTTGTAAGACGTCAAACAACCAGGTTGTTGATAGTTTTAAACATAGTATTTGTTGGACTACCTTCTTCTCATTTCACGCTTATTACTGAAGGTTTGCATCTGAAAGTGCGCCACGAGTGTAAAATAAGAATCTCGACCACCTTCCGGGAGAAGTTGCGTAGTCATAAGATTGAAATACCTTATATACATGTTTACGTAAGAACTTCTCGTAAGAAACCATCATTCTTTGCTCACAATACGCGGTTGTTTCTTTATTTTGGTTTTCTGGAAGAAAAAAAGTGCTAAAGTGCCTTTGTTTTTCTGAGAAGCAGGGTGTAGGTGATTTCAAAGCGGACTGGAGATAATATATGTGTTTTGGTTCAACTCAGGATTTCATTTCTTCCGTTAAATGTAGTGCTGTCTTACACCAAAAAGTGCATTTTCTAAGGAACTGATTCTAGTGCTTGTCGGATTTATTTCATCGAGTTCTTGACACAGCTATAAGTTAGTTCTAATTTTTGTGATTACCTACCTAATTAAATCCTTAGGTCTGGTTTTCCTTCATTTTTGGCAGCTCTATTCGGAGCTCCCGCTTTCTTTGCAATTCGATCACTAGCGTCGTATTATTACGGATTAGCGGCAAAACACATAATGGTTGTTGATAGCTGTGAGTTATGTTTTTAGTGGTTATTTTGCACCTCTAAGGATATCGGTACTTTTTTCATGTGCGACCTGAAGGCTGTAGTGTTACGTAAGTAGAGATCTTTACGTTATACCTTCGCCTGAATCATATTGTTCCAGTAAACGTTAAGGTAGTTTTAGCTGTAGTTATCTGGTTTCATACACCTACTTCGATACTTGGATGGCCCGTCCTCATTGATTGTGCAAGCTCCAGCATAATCTTTGTTGGAGTTTCGCTGCTTTTATATGGCTTTACTAATTTTCATGGGAAATTATGCCTCGTAGAAAGTATTCAATTTTTTGACGCATTTCTAAAATGACAAAGCTGTCTTTTATTAACTTATATTTATGCAGTAATTTCTTAAGCAAGAATAATTTGGATAGTTTTGTCACTAAACAAATGTTTTATTTGTCAACCATTGTGCTGCATTTCACCTTTTCAGTGTTTTCTTCCTCACCCCTCTTCTTACCAATCTCTGTACTGGTATGGATAGCGAGGAAACTGGTGGTTGCATGCGTCCTGCAGAGGAACAGAGGAGTGGGAGCATAATTGTAGAGACAAATTTTCGTCTGTATGCCTACACAAGCTCCGCTCTTCAGTTAGCTATCTTGTCCACTTTCACGGAAATGATCTACAGATTCAACGACATGTCTGTAGGAGTGTTAACTAGAGAGTCTGTAAGGAGAGCATTACAAGTTAGTATTGAGGCATTTTTCAAGCCTAAACGAGTAGCAGATTAGTTCCGTACAGTTGCAGCATTCTATCAATCTAGTATACCTAACAATTTGCTTTTCAGACAATAATAATCCCTTTCAACTTCGACGTTTATGATTAGGTGTTACCCACTAGTTTTATAAGGAAACGGATGAATTTTGCTGAACAAGGGTTCACATCAAGTACTATTTTTGGTTGGTATATATGAATCATTTTGGATTCCATAGTGCCTAAAAATTTTGGTGTCCAAAAAAATTTGTAGGCAGCACGCGAAATCTAGTACGAAATGTAGTGCAGGGCAAAGGAACGAAAAAGATTTAAAATTTTACAGTAGATACATATTACGATCATTTGATAATAAATTTTTTGGTCAGCCATTTAGGTTGGAATTACCGCCTCTCAAATTATCTCATTCCTTCGAGCGAATGCCCATCGACAATGTCTCACTACTGGTGGTGCACTGAACTGCTTGCCTGTGACGGTGTGTAGACATCTCAGATTGTGGATATTGTGCATATATTGTAGTTAATGATATGGTAGAAGTCTTTCTATTGGTGTCAGTAGTGCTTAAGGTTGCGGATCAAATTCGATTATGGGAGGATGAGCGACGTCGGATGACATTTACTGATGCAACTCTCTATTCCACATTCGAGGGAGATCCAGAATTTGTCGGTGAGGCTTGCAAAACTACACCCTTGATTAGTAATCAGGTGATTCAAGCGGCCGCTATTCTCTGCTTGTCCGCTCACTTGAGGGCCATCTAAAGCATCTCATTTTTAATGATACCTTTTCTTTTTACTATTTTCAATTAGAGTGCTGCACTTTTGCCACTAGGTTTTGCTATAATGGAGTTGTACCGAGAATCTCATAGCAGATGTGGCTTTTTGTTGAAAGAGGCCTGAAACTACCTCCAATGTACCTTCTTAGATTGTGAAGCTTGCATGAGGCTGTTATATATGTTTTATTCGACTAATGTTTCGGCGTCTTCGTCTTCGTCAGAGTCGATGATCCGAGTTGATATCCACAATCGCTCTGGATGTGGTGTCTTCGTCGTCGTACCGAGACGGATCTTCTTCACTGGAGATCTCAAGTGAGATCTCATCGGACAGCGTTCTTTTACACAGAACGGTTGTTGTTGGTTTGATTTACCCATGGTAATAATTTATTTTTCAACGGGTAATCCATCTTGCAGCAGACGGTATTATGTCAGCTAGCACATATGGAATAGGAAAACAATAATTTTCAAACCCACTGTCATTTAACCTGAGTAGCAGTAATCAATGCCTTCTTCTTTTTCAATGCTTCCACTATGTCCTTAGTAATTTGGATTGGAGGCTTTTGAGAGAATGCAGAATACATTTTATATACTGAGTTTATCTGCGTCGCCCAACAAGTATATGATTGAATTTGGTGTGGGTATAGTGTCTGAATGTATAATATCTGATATATTATCTACAGTAGCTTATAACTTCTATAATATCTGTCTATGATGTATGTATAATATGTCTACATCTAAGAGTAGCGGGTAGTGCAATAGTTGTCATGTCGATCATCATGGGCGCGATGCTGGTTTGCATCACTGGACTCGCCAAGTCTCTTATCCGTTCGAAGTCGGGAAATTGATACCAGACTTGCCTGGGAACAACTCATTCGCTGCAAAACATGTGGGAACGTTCTAGCCCGACTAGTCCCAGGAGTCCAAGTGAAAGCAGCGTTTTCATTGAACCAGTTAACATGTTGGCGTTGCGCATTGGTTTATGAATTCATTAGTTACTAGTGTTGTCCTTGATCTTCTTATGGAAATTTAAGCACTCTTTGATTGGGCGTGCCGTTGTTTCTTTAACATTATTCGATATCAGTTCCCAAGATCGACTTTCTATTAACCTTGGCATTGGATTATAAACCTGTCGTTTTCTTTCTCAGTAATCGCGAGGTTGTTAAACAGCATACGTTTACTTCCATACAATAACACACATACAACACAATCGCAGCTAACGTTTCGGCAGAATCGCCTTCTGCAGAGCCGCTTTTTTCACCTATCTTCCACCAAGGAAGAACAGCCACTTAGAGTCGCATATGGTTGACGACTGTGGCTCTGAAGAAGGCGATTCTGCCGAAACATCAGCTGCGATTGTGTTGTATGTGTGTTATTGTATGGAAGTAAGCATATGCTGTTTAACAACCTCGCGATTACTGAAAAAGAAAACGACAGATTGTGCAATATCGTCGATTTTTTACTATAGCTTCTGCCTAGCCCCCGCTCTTGAATGATAGCTGAGTCCGGCACATGTTCAGCATTGCCTCTTGTGCAGCAGCATCACTGTTTTTTGAAGTTCTGTGGTAACATGTTTGTAAGTGCTGACTTTCTATGGTTCGGGTGTATTTTATTTTTATCATCCTCTACACACTCTGTCGTTTTGTCTATTAGTATTGTTTCCGCTTTAGTGAAATTCGTGTAATAGCATCAGAAAGCCAGTGATGATGACTAGACGGCACTCTATTTTTCCTTTCCTTCCTTCAGTTTTTGCCTGCAAATGAGATTTTAGTGTAATATGCTGGACTAGTTCTTCCTATTAAATTTTGTAAATGCACGAATATTCGTCTTTTAGGCGTTCGTGATTTCTCACTACGAGAAGGTATCTTGCTATGGGCAGATAGTGACAAAAAACTAGTGATTGTTTCTGAAGAAGGTCACGAAAGAGTACGAGCCTGGTGGAAAGCCAACAAAGCTGCTACATGATGTTAGATTTCTGCATTTTTTGCATAATTTTTGATCATTTACACAACGGTTCTTCATCGGTTATTGTTATCATTCCTACTGATTCCTAGTGGTGCGATTTTCATTTTTTGGTATTTTTTGAAGCCGTTGTTTCTTGTTGTTTTGTTGTTTGTTTAGGCTTTATCAGTATTACTTAAAATGTATTGTTGCACAGTTTATAAAAGAAAGCTGGCTTGAAGCAGTTGTTGAATGATTTCCTGACCCCTTAATAATCTCGTAGTGCTTTAGTAATTTCTTCCGCATCATAATACATAAAAACGTGTTTTTTTTTGCGATTTTATAAGTGTTATTTTCCAACTAGAAGCTATGTTTAGCATGCTTGCATATCTGCGTAGAACAAGCACCATCCTTGTGATGACGTGCAAGGTTTCCGAATGGCGTTTTGGTAATAACACACGCATTTTTTCCAAATCGGTCATTGGTGAGATGACCTTTATAGGCTTAATTATTTGTAAATCTAATGTCACGAGCTTCATTGAGTGAAACGCATATAACTGTCAACCGTCTGGAGTGCATACACAACTGCTCCGAGCAGGGCGCTGTGCTCATGTCTGACTTTAGTCTCTTGGAGAATCCTTTCATTACGACTCTGACTCATTACTTTCATTACATTACTCTAGATTGTTGATGCCAGCGTTAGTTAGAAAACTGACCGACGAGCTCAGTCCATCCGTGAGTAACATATGAGCCAACGGAAGGAGTAATCGCGGTTCGACTGGCCTCTAATAGATCCTTTATACAAATAGTGTTAACACAATGACAAACAATGAGATCAACATGTGTGTGGTCAATATTATATATGTACATGTATATATGTATATATATATTTTGACCATACTGGTACGCATATATATATATATATACATATATATTTAATAGTATGGTCAGTAGAGAAATAGCATGAGGTGCACATATATCAATAGATACTTCCATAATAAATTCACGGTTTATTGTGAAGCAAGGTGTGTGAACAGCTACTGATTGTGTGAAGAGAAGCCCAACCATTGGAGTCTTCTCGGAATTCAGAAGCAGGAAGGAGATGGTGATAATGAGGGGATTGTGTAGGTTAATGGGGAGACGCAACATTTGCTTTGTGTGGGAAGACAACAGTAAAGTCACTGTGGAATGCCATCTTGCCATGCCTGGCGTATATTGATAGTTGCTTGTAACTAATATGAGAAGTGTGTAATAATATGACATAGAGAGTACTCTCTACGAGGTAGAGAATAGTTCTTATATTTTATATTCGATGTCTTTCTTCGATAAGCAGACACGAGGTTGTTATCATAGGATTTATTAGGATACAATAGCTGACGTTTCGGCGCTTTCGCCTTCTTCAGAGCCTGGAAAGGTCAAATTTTATATGCCTCACCTATCAAAAATCTTATTATGTTAACTGTATGAGAAACATGAAAAAATAAAGAGATGGAGACCACTTTCCATCACAAGAGAGGTAGTCTTCACAATTTCCACCTGAACTGGACAATCCAAGGTTGAGCATGCACATCGATTTGTGTCAGTTTTTAGTGGTACCAACTGAACATTTATGATTGGGAAAAATGAACGTCGCGCAAATTATAATGGTCTTTATTGGTTGCTATTGCATTGAAATACAATCCTGTTTTGGTCGAAGTGTTTTGTTATGTATCAGTCTTAATATTTTTCACAAAAGGGATATCTCAAAGATCATCAACAATTGTTTCAACGTTTGGATTGGCTGAAGGAGAATGTCATAAGAACTCAATATTAGGACTTAGGAACTCCTGTGACACGAATAGAGTGAAGAATGGACTAATCGTGGTGCTGAAGACAATCCTTATCTCCAGATTTCCAAAGGCGTTCCTAATGTTGTTGAGTATGCTGGTCTCCTAGTCTATGCACATCAACGACATAAACTATGTTGTCTTCAGCATTTATTTTATGTAATAGAAAAATGGCGATAGTCACAGTAGAGTGTTGGCCAATCATAACACCAAAATTTTCACAGCATCAAAAATTCGTGGGAGCTAGAATAACAATGGAATGGCTCATTCAAGATCTCAGCTTCGATCCCCTTCACAGCTACGTCCATTCTGAGGTGTATCACCATTGGTAGAGAGGATGTTTTGCCCATTCGTTGTTTTCCGTGATGCCAGGGTTATCTCATCGGCGACATATACTTGTGCCCACGATATCGAGAGCAATATACCCGAACACCTGAAGAATCCACTACAAGTATTAGTCCACATGCTCGCAGGAGTGGGAGGCCCTCTCGAACCTGTTGTTGTGCGAAATGAAGACCTACATGACATTACGAACTGTAATATAGTGAGCCTGCTATCCATGTCTTAAGATGTCATGTGTATAATAATAGCTAAGAACGGTGGTTTACGGATTAAGGATTAGTGAAAAAAAACCATGGGAAGAAGAAGGCTTTTGGGAAGGATTCAGTGCTAAAATTGATGTGGATATAGCGGATTATACGCACACAATTATGAGATTCATTGAAGCATTCGGGAAGCGCAGAATTTCGCTATGCTTCTTTTTCTCAACCTTGAAGACTGCCCATAATAAGCAAACTCGTAATGTTAACTTGTTATCTACTGCCTACTCTTTTTAACGGCAGGGTATACATTACGAAATATAACTTCAATGATGCTGAGATATTTGCGAAACCCGGACCCCAGGTGTATGCGGTGGAGAACGAACGCGCTATTGTCCTTCCCGGGAAGTAGCGCGTTCACCACCACACCATGCGGGTCGCTGACGGGTAATTACTGATGGCAAAAGATCGATAGAACTAGCTGAGAGACAGGCGAAACGAAGGACCAGATCAGATCAGAAAAAGAAGACGATGATACAAGTCGATGTTCACAGTGGTTCGTGCTGTCTATATGGTGTTTTTGTCGTCGCATCGAGTCGAATCTTCTTCAGTTGATCTCCGCTTGAATGGAGCAACCCTACTCGAAGCGACGACGAAGGCACATCGATAACACGAACGACTGTGGACATCGACTCGGACAATCGGCTCTGAGGAAGACAAAGACACCGAAACGTTAACCCAATAGGGTTTATTTTATCAACCTCTTGTTAGCTGGTCGACGAAACAAGGTACATCAATCAATTGCACTCGTATGTGGAAACAATTCACGGTGTAGGGAATTATATTCACATAAGTAACCACGCACGAAATACACTATTCCCATGAAGGATTGGCGCGGAATAATGAAATTAATGGAAGAAGACCGACAATCGGAGTATCCACGCAACTATGCAGAAACCTGAGCTAGTGCTGTACAAGTGGATCCGCGGTAGATGAAGTTCACTCGCTAGAGGAAAAAGCAATATTACGTCCAACTTCGATTTTAATGTGTTTCTATTTTATGTCTTGTATGTGACAAATTGGTATGGGTTCAATCGATAGGTTGCAATCGTTTACGATCACTTGTAATCTCTGATAACACAAACATACAACATTTCGTTCGTTGATAGCCGATCGGTTCACATCTGTGAAACACACCATCGGTACAATCATCGGTACCCTATTAGCATTTCAACAGAATTTATTCACCATCCATGACAATACTGCCTGTCAGACATTCAACACTGGTGTTAGAGAATAGGTCTAAACTTTCCTTCCTTTATTTCATTCTTTACTGTTTGTTCTTGAGTCTCTTTGACAATGGCTGATCAGAAATTAATGCTACTTTCCAAGGTTATTCCCGTAACTTATGATTTTTCCTTCATTACTGAAAATTTTATGCTAGAAATCTTGCATAGCCTTGCTTTTCTCAATTGGAATATGACGGTGATTTCATCTGTTGTGGTTTCTACTTAGGCATTCCAACCATCGTTGGATCGCGAGTTAGCATAAGTTCTTCTCTTAACCGTATTTGCTACAATTGTTTTTCCTTGCGACAAAGATTTTTTTGAACTAGCGATTTCTTGCAAAGCATTTCTTTTGTTCCTTTATTTTTCAAACTGAAATGTATTTTGCGACTGTGACATATTTTCTATGGTACACTCTCAATTCGCCCTCTGTTATCCTTTAAAACGGGTTCCCTTTATCACTTCTTTAAAGACGAAGGAGTGGCGTATAGGTAAAATGCCAAGAGGCTTTCATTTTTAATACAAAATGCTGATACTGTATTTTCGCACATTTATTTACTTGTTGTTCAATTTCAGCTACTTAACCATGAGTAAATTTTCTCGATTGCCGTTTTTTGTTGGTTTTCTGCTGCCGCAAAAATGCGTTTCCAGTAAAGTTCTTCTTCGATTGACGTAAGAAATCAGTGCTTTCCATCGTGTACATCCGACGACACCTCTATCAATCCATCTGTCGTTAATCGACTCGACAGTGAGCAGTCCATGCGTCCTTCCCTGTGCCAAGGTGGTCCAGTAGGTCTTTTTCATTCGAGGGACCTAAGCGCAGCATATTACGTTTGCGCTGTTCTAGAAGGCCTGGCCATGAGAGCTTAGAACCCATTAGCTACTCTGCAGATATTTAAGGTAAAATGACTGAGATTCCATACTGTCTGTCAATTTTAAAAACGGTGAATATGTGTGCAAAATCTATTTTTAAAAAATTGCTTCGTGAACTCACTCCTATTCCTATGCATCCTATTTTCACAAGGCTTTCGATTTGCTCACTCGATGGTCAATAGATACATTCGAATCTTATTGTCAACGGTTGTCAGGAATTTGCTAAGTAAAGGCGAAAAAATAGTTTCACAAAATGGTGATCGTGGAGAACGAATATTAACAGATTCGCTGTCTGTTGCATCGAAATTTATGCACGACCATTAAGCGGCTTATTTTGCCCCACAGAGCTTCTTCACAGCATTTTCTGTGCTCTACTAATGCCTTGTCTAACACAGCTGCTAGGTCAGACATCGTCCGCAAAAAGCTGTTATCTTCAATTTCTATTTCTTTTCATTATGAAAATTATAGAAGGCAGAAAACAAAACGTTAAACATTGTGAT